CCCTATCGAGTACTAATATTAATAAAAAAATCTTAAATTTAAAATATAGAATAAGAAGACATGAAAAAAATTGAGGCATTGGTTGAACGTTACTTCATATGGTATAAGATAATAAATTGAGTATCATGGTTGACAAATCGAGACTTAATGTCTTGTATTGAGAGTTAAAAATTTTCGGCATTAGTTATGAAAGTTATTTCACATTGTATAAGGTAATAAATATAAGTATCATGGTTGGCAAAATCGCGGTATAAAGTCTTACATTCAGAATTTATAAACCTCAATTATGGAAATGAGTGAAGATTAGATAATTGAACAATAATAAGTGGGTATGATATATGTAGGAAATTGTCAACATAGGCATATGATAGATATAACAAACACTCAATATGTAGGAAATTGTCAACATAGGCATATGATAGATATAACAAACACTCAATAATTATTGATTAATCATCTTTAACTTATAAATATATATAGTTATGACAATGATCAAAATAATTGATGGATTGTTGAATATTTTGATCGAGAAATGAGCCTATAATCTGTCAATGCCCCATAAACCTACATCAAGACTATAATCAAGAGACTACAAATATTTAATAATAGGATGTTGTCACAAAACAAACCATTTTAGATATTGAATATAGTAAGGTATAATGATAAGTTGATTTTATATAAAACATAATTAGTCTGATCAACGGGTGGCGTTATGCATTTAAGAAATATTCTCTGCACAGAATTAACCAATGAGGAAAACAATGACGTGATCTGATATGATCTTCAAACTTAAAATGCAAGTTCAAATATTTATCTGTCTCTGATTATGTACACTTGGCAATTTTATATAATTTAGGGAATAAGAAAGTTATTTTTACATCACTAGAAAGTGTGGTTGACTCTGATCAATCTATTTTTTAACTGACAATAAACTTGCCAATGATATGACCATCCATGATAACACTTGTACTTTTATAATGGCTCTAATTATTATGATTATTTAACATTAAAAATGAGTTATTACCATCTTACGTTCATAAACTAATTCATGTAAGTTAAAGTTGAAGAATCTATCGACCAACGACAAAATGAGCAAGAAGGAAACATTTTTTTTACGTAAGTTCAAAGTGTGAAGAAATATCAAACTAAATCTTTCCGATTATATGTTCTTTAAGTTTGTATTAATAAACTACATTATCTAAACTATGATTCTGGGTCGAATATACAATTTGGATACCGATGATTAGTTTTGAAGGGAATGAAGTTAAAGCTCAACATCAAATTCACCGACTACAATATCAAGAACCCATTAGCGAGTCATAGTTTTGAAGATAAGGAATAATTAAAGAGCTAATCTCATAAATTGTTCAAAACTTGGACAATATAAATTTGACATGCGTGAAAATGATATTTCAGGTTTGAAAATATTTTTCCATCAAAATTTTGATTTCAATGAAATGTAGGGGAAGGGAATAAAAGGTGTGTTAATGTTAGAGGCATTGGATACCGTGATGGAGATAATGGTGTTGTTGAGAAGTATGAAGAGAAATTTAGAGGTAATGGATCCAGTGAAACGTGTCATATTTGTATCATTAAATTATCGCTTTCAATGAAATTTAGAAAAAAGAATGTTTAATGATGGAGGTAGTGGATCCAATATTGGAGATAATGAAAGTGTGTGTTGACAAGAAGGAAAGGAATATTGATTTAGTTCGATTTGATAAGTTTTGTTATTAGGATTCGATTTTTTGGTTTGTTTTAGTTTTTGATCTCAAGTTCTCAACCTTACGCCGATGAATCAATTTAAAAGTCAGAAAACTCTATGATGTATGTTCATTTTTATCTTTTCTGAATTATTTTGATTCCTTTATTGTACCATATAAAAATTTATATATTGTTCGAATAATTTCTATCGATAAAATGTAGTCGTCCAACAGGCGGGCCCAAACCTAGTGGTCAACATCTAAAATGAACTGGATAAAAAATAACAGGGAAGTAGCGACCGAAGTCTTAAAATGGACCAAAAAGGACAATGGACTAGTATGAACAGAATCATTCTCACCCCTAATTTTAGGGTCATTGATCGTCAAATATGTGTATATCATTTTTGTTTTAGTTCGGTTTGATTATTTAAAGTAAGGAAACAAATAGAACAAATCGAATTGGATTTGTCAAAATCCGTGTCCAATACATTATTCATATGCCAATGTCCTCATCTTCTGAATCAAACCAGACTGTTCTGCCAATAGTAGTGAACCTATGCAGTTGCATGGAAGAACTTAGAGCATCTCCAACAATGCAATCCTTCTTTGCTTTCAAGTGTGGTCCCTACTGCCACCTAAGCAACTCTAGCAATTACGTCACTCATCAATTTCATACAAGCTACATCAATGTCATTCCAATGCAATTGCACTTCTGGGTCCCACTTACATTTTAATACCACACAAATGGTTGGGAAAAGAAGAAAGAAAAACAAAAACAAACAAAGGACCCACTTGCAATTGCATGTCAGATTTTCATGGTGTGCAAATTTTCACCACTTAAAAGTGGTCTTGCATCAATGTTATTTACTTTTTCAATTTCACGTGGCTGCCAGCTCAACTTGCAACTGCCTCCATTTGCACCATTGGAGATGCTCTTACAGCCCAAACGCACAGCCTCTAAAAGCTCATGAACCAAAATTGCAATTTGCAAAGACTGCATTCAGCCGTCCAGGAAATTCACGGATGGGTATATGGTAGAAAATCAATCTCTACATCCGACCATTTCCATCCCACCAAGGATTCCCTGTTTCCTCTCGTTAGACCCAAAATGGATATGCAGTATCTTTGTGCTTTGAGGGCAGTGCATGCAGTGCTTCTCAATATGCGAGTAGGGAGATTTTTGTATATTGGACATTGGTATTTGGTAGTCGGCAAAGGCATTGGATGTCGGGCCTTCAACTTGATCGGCGGTGGGTCCTCCAACCTCCGAAGCGCCCCTGGCCAGCGGGGATGCACTTTCGGAGGCGGCGGGATAGCTGGACTGAATGCATCTTTTTTCTAGCCTTTTTATATATTGGTTTGTTTCAAATTAGGAAGGAATGTGGCAGTGGCAGTGATATGATGAAGAATAATCTCATCCCAAAAGTGATCACCAGGGCAGGAATCATGGGGAAAGTTTCATTTTGGTAGGGGAAGGAAGTCTCTTTAATTTGGGGCACACCTGAATTAGCATATTCATCATGGGACTGGGAGAGAAGGCAAAATGATGGAAGATATCACAAATTGCCGTCACTACTCTGAGCCCTCAGCAGAGTTATTGTTACACAGTGAAAAAGTCTTTCGAGTCTTGTTTTGATGTCAATCAATATTAAATTGATTCGTGTTATCGAGACCCATTGCACTTCGATATGGTTTCAATTTGATTTTCGACAGAATTGATTCGTAGCAAGTATGTGTTTGTTACTTGAATTCCTCTTCGGTTTCCACTACGAAGAAAAATTACTTGCAAACCGCAGCAAGTCAGTAGCACTGACACAAGCAACACAGACAAAGTGCCATCAATGACGAGAGGGCCAGCCTAATACCAGTTTGCTGTTGAAGCAATGCAATGGAATGAAAATGACAAAAACGTACTCTTAGTCAAATGATCCACTCCACCACGCCTTTCCCACACAATAATCTTGAAAGCAATGGGCATAAGAGAAATATGATTAATGTATGTGATCTTCCCTACCAATTCAGTTATGGTGCTCATGGCTCATATGTGAGGATTTGTTCACGGGAATAGATGTTCCACGATCGTTAGATGAACAAAACCGTCACCAAATTCATACACTGGCCGTGAATGGCCTATCGTGCAATCCAACAATGCCAACCTTTTCGAGCATGTTTTCATTTATGGGGTTGTGAGCTATTTAGCAACAAATTGTTTACGTACATTGCGCATTGGTATTCTTAACATTAGGTTAGAAGAGTCACATCATGTACTCAAAGTCTTCCATGGTGAGTTATGGAGCTGCGGCAGATAATCATTAAGCAAGAGATTCAACAAGATTATCTACTGGGCTAATTGATTTATCGCAAAACCCGATCTCACATTCGATTTGATGTTAATCCCATATGAATTAAAATGCTAACAAAGTTACGGTATAGTGAAATCACCAAAACTGTTGTTTCGACACCTCAAATGACCACCCAAGATTATCATCAACTAAGTATCCTATGAACACAACCATTTAGGTTGGATATTGCAAGGTGGAATATTGAGTTGAGTTATAAACGTGATAGACTATGTTAGGGGGTGGGCATTCGGTCAGTTCGGTTTCGACCGAACCGAAATTATGAATACCGGGTCCCCAAATTCTCCCAAACCTCAAACCGAATTCGAACCGAATTATAATTCGGTTCGGTCGGTTTAAACCGAATTATAATTCGGTTCGGTTTGATTTTTAACAAGAAATCGAATTTGTGAGGCTACTTGTATATTCTCACTTTTAAATTATTTTTCACTCCTAATATAAACAGTAAATATGCAATTATATGCATAATCAATGATAAAATCAAACTTTTCAACACATAAGTCATAAAACATTTCAAATATTTAAGTATAAAAACAACTACAAATATAAAAATCCACCATTTGGAGGTTGCAATTGTAGTATTTCGGTTTTTCGGTCGGAAATTCGAAATTTCGGTTCGGTGAAAGAACCCTAATTTCCGAAATATCTATATTTTCCTTCCGAATTCCGAACCGAATAGCATTATTTCGGGATCGGTTCGGTTTAATTCAGTTTCGGTTCGGGTTTACCGAACCTTTTGCCCACCCCTAGACTATGTGAACATACTACTTGCTAAATCCGCTCCATACTATAAATTGATAGAAAGAAGAGAACATGACATCGAGGGGGGAAATTAAATAAAGAAAAAGCAGTCAACCTCGTCAACCTAAGTAGTAGAGCACGCATCACCACCCTCCATTTCCTATACATGCAAGATCAACGGCTGAGATCGTGAATGTCCAAACTCTCATGTTCCCCCCAGCCTGTCGCTCCACCATCGCATCAAATCACAATCTTCTTCAGAGAGATTCCCCACTCTGCTCTCACTCCCATTTCCTCTCACTGCTTTCTTCTTCTTCTTCACCAAACTAACTAAAACCCCAAAAACCTCACAACCGAGGCACAGCCCAAACGAACTAATCAGAACTTAAACCAAACTCTCTCTCTTAGAATAAGCAGAGGCATTGATGGAGGAGAGGCCGGAGTCGGAGCTAATATCCATCCCGGCGACGCCGGAGATACTGACCCCCTCCGGGCAGAGGTCACCGAGGCCGCAGTACAAGGAGGCCAAGTCGTCAACGGCGTGGACGCCGACGTCGTTCATCTCGCCGAGGTTTCTCAGCCCCATCGGGACGCCGATGAAGAGGGTGCTGGTGAACATGAAAGGGTACTTGGAGGAAGTTGGGCATCTCACCAAGCTCAACCCGCAGGACGCTTGGCTGCCCATTACCGAGTCCAGAAATGGGAACGCTCACTACGCCGCGTTTCACAACCTCAACGCCGGCGTCGGGTTCCAGGCCCTCCTCTTGCCCGTCGCTTTCGCTTTCCTTGGATGGTAACATTCACTCTGCCTTTTCTGGGTTGCTTTCCATCTGTTTGAGTAAATGCCTGAGTGTGTAAGTGTGTGGAAGTAATGCATTGCAGTTGATTCTTCTGCTTCTGCAATTAGTCTGGTTCCGATTTGTTCTTCTTTTGTTTTGCAAAAATTACGAATGGGGAAAATGTGTGAACATGCTTGAAGTAAAGATCAGATTTGGTAAATAGTTATGATTCCTGCATACTCTAGGTCGATTTTCATTAATGGATCTTGAAAAAGTAGCCAACTTGCTTTGCCTTTTGTCCAATTAGCTCGGCATAGGGGTCAATTACACATTTCGATTATTGTTAGTTCTTCTTTTCCTTTTGATCGTTCCTTTTACTTTTGTAATTGGTTAATTTTCAAGATGGATTAAAGTTGCTGTCGGTGGTTAATTCTCTTGTTGGAATGAAACCATGTCTGAAATGTTGGACTTTTGTAGCCAAGCTTGATTGGCATTCTGAACAGTGAACACCATTTTTGTGCAGGAGCTGGGGAATACTGTCCTTAACCATAGCCTATATCTGGCAAATGTACACTTTGTGGATTCTAGTACAGCTTCATGAAGCAGTCCCAGGGAAGAGATACAACCGATATGTGGAGCTAGCCCAAGCTGCATTTGGTGGGCAAACACGTTCTCACCACTTAATCACAGAATAATAACTGCACATTTATACTAGCTGAGGATTGAATATGTTGTCGAATCATGGCTTGTTGCAGGTGAAAGGTTGGGTCTTTGGCTTGCAGTCTTCCCAACTGTATACTTATCAGCTGGAACTGCAACAGCTTTGATACTCATAGGAGGAGAGACCATGAAACTGTTCTTCCAGATAGTTTGTGGACCGACATGTACATCGAATCCTCTCACGACAGTCGAGTGGTACCTCGTCTTCACAACTCTCTGCATCGTTCTGTCTCAGCTTCCAAACCTCAACTCGATCGCTGGACTCTCTCTAATTGGTGCCATAACAGCCATCACTTACTCCACAATGGTGTGGGTCCTCTCTGTCAGCCAGCAGAGGCCACCTACAATCTCGTATGAGCCTCTCTCACTGCCGTCTTCCACTGCATCTCTCTTCTCCGTTCTGAATGCTCTTGGAATTGTGGCCTTTGCATTCAGGGGCCACAATCTCGTTCTCGAGATTCAGGTAAATCAACATCGCCCTTTGGAGTTGTTGCAAAATGCAGACAGAGGTTATTGCTTTCTTTAATCTGATTTGTAAGACTTGTCTCGTGATGTTAGTCGACAATGCCGTCTACCTTCAAGCACCCAGCTCATGTGCCGATGTGGAAAGGAGCTAAGGTTGCATACTTCTTCATAGCAATGTGCTTGTTCCCTGTAGCAATTGGTGGCTTCTGGGCCTATGGAAACCTTGTAAGTAAACCAAAGGACAACTCTTGATCAACTTCTTGTATTCTTTGCTGAATGTTGTTCATCTTGCATGCTATTTTCTGAGGTTTATTCGCAAACAGTTTGCTCTTTTTGAGTCGGTTTGTGTAGGAAATTGTGTTTGAAAAGTGAAAATAGACAGTTGATTTATATTTTTTTGTCCTCCTTTCATTTCAGATGCCATCAGGAGGAATTCTGAATGCTCTATATGGCTTCCACAGCCACGACATCTCACGAGGGCTTCTTGCAATGACATTCCTTCTAGTCGTATTCAGCTGCTTGAGCAGCTTCCAGATATACTCAATGCCGGTCTTCGACAGCTTCGAGGCCAGTTACACGAGCCGGACAAACCGACCATGCTCAATCTGGGTTCGATCAGGATTCCGGGTCTTCTACGGGTTCGTCAACTTCTTCATAGGAGTGGCACTGCCATTCCTGTCAAGCCTTGCTGGCCTACTGGGAGGAATAACTCTCCCAGTCACATTTGCATACCCATGCTTCATGTGGATTCTCATCAAGAAGCCCACCAAGTACAGCTTCAACTGGTACTTCAACTGGATCCTAGGCTGGCTTGGGATTGCATTCAGTTTGGCCTTCACCATTGGAGGTATTTGGAGCATGGTCAACAGTGGACTCAAGCTCAAGTTCTTCAAGCCAAGTTAGAACAGAAGTGAGGTTTTTGTTGTGATCTCCTCTCCCTTGTGAGGAAAAATGCTGTAGATTTCAGTTTTGTTTTCCGATAATTGCTCTTTGCTTGTAATCAGCTGGTAGGAAGAGACTATCTAAGTAATGATTATCATATTTCTTGCATGAGAGATTATCATATCAAAAAAGGTTTTTTCCCCTTAGTTCAACTATGTTAAGTGTGTTTTTTGGTCCTCGTACAAACTGCGAGAACGTATTCACAAGCGTGCCGAATTGCTATCGCATTCATCCAACGACCTGATGAAAGGGCCGAATCGGATCAAAAACAGATAAAGACTGATAAATTTGTCCCTGATAGCCCAACTTTTCTTGTCTGCAGCAACTGCTGCTGATACTTTGCGGTGGGGCAATTGGGGGCAGGCATCATGAACGTGATGATGGTGACGAGTGATGATGCAGACACCCACTACTAGTGCTGTTTCAAAGTCAGCCACTCGATGGATATAATGCCTTGTTTAACATGCAGAACTAGTCAAACGGATTGGCTTTTTTAGTGCCTAAAGTCCAATTTACAGGACCACAAAACGTACAGAAAAGTAGTGAATTTTGCTGGCCACCATAAAAAAGAATGAATTTGGATGGTTATTATAACAAGGAGACAAATTTGCCTGCTAAACCGCGAAGATTGGCCCTTCTATGTTCTCCAGACACAGTGCGGCAAATGAGATGAAGAACCCACCGAGAAGAAGTTCTCGTCGGCGGCGGGGCCCATGATTCTTTGTGAGGATCATGCGCATAGATTAAAGAAAGAAAACCAGTAGCTAGTGATGAAATGATGCTTTGCCATCATGATCCACTTCTTTTGGGTTCGAAAATTCGATCGCCACCCACCATAGCGACATTCCCGTTTTGAGTGTTGGGTCAGATTTGCTTTGGCTATGATGGCCACTCGACATTCCTGCTTCAACCAAACCTTCAAAGACATCCATTCCCGTCTGGAAGAAGTGATGTGGATTTTAGAGTAGTGAAGCGTGGTATTGTCCAAGAAGCATTGTCATGAAATTATTAGTAGTTTAGATGTATTGCAAGGAGCCCCAACAAGTCTGTCATCACTTCTCATTGAACTCTTAAGATGGAATTGAGTTGCTCATTACAAGTTTCCTGAAACGGATAAGAAAAATTGTAAAGCTAACTACAAATATCATTAAACATATAAAAAAATTTAGACCAGACATGAAACACGACAAACTACACAACAAAACTCGTAAAGTGTATTAGTAAACCCAAAGCAAATAAAAATGTAAAAAACACACGAGAAAGCAAATATTCTAAAATAGGTATAAAAACAAAATATCCTTGCAATCCTCACTAGGGATGGCAATGGGTCGGGTTTTGCCAAACCCAAACCCATGGGTTTATCCGTGAAAAAAACCCAGGGTAAAACCCATTGGGTTTGAAAAACTCAAACCCTACCCAACCCGCTGGGTATCCGTGGGTTCATGGGTACCCACGGGTTTTTGTCGTAAAAAATTTACAATAACAAGTTCCTATCAAAATCAAAGTCAAATATTAATCTCTCAATACAAATTATCCATATATAAAACACCATTCTAGAAAATTCAAGCAAATCACAAATATACTATACAAATTGTTCAACACCAATCTAGAAAACTCAATAAAATTGAAGCAAATCACAAATTATCCATAAATAACATGATTAACTGAAAGCTTCTTCCTTTCAATTAAGTTTCTTCATTCTCCGCTCGATGACATCAACTTCATTCTACACAATTAGAAAGAAAAAATTAGACATGTCTCCACAAACATTAATAAGATTAGTTGTTTATAATATTAGATATACCGAGAAAATTAACTATATGGATGTGGGTGGGTACCCATGGGTCGGGTTTACCTAAACCCAAACCCAACCCAACCCGGTATAGAGAGGTCTTAGTGAGAGAGAATATGTGACGTTGAAATTGGGAGCGAGAAGGTGATAAGAGATGCAATGTGAATGGAATGAGCTTTCATCTTGCTACAGTTGAGAGCAACAGAAAGACACTGATATAACCTGTATTTTTTGCAGTTTGATTATTCAGATTGTCTTGTCAGTTTATTGTTCTTATAACTTATTGGGATTTATTGTGAGTCATTTGTGAGTATTTAATAATTTGGGATAGCATTAGGGAACTATCCATATATATATATATATATAAAAATATTTTTGTACTTGAAATTAAGCCACTAAGCAAGGTTAAACCCTAAAGTATTCCCCTAATCTCTCTTCTCTCCCTCTCTATTGTTGCTGCCGCAACTCTCTCTTCTTCTTTCCCCATCAATTTCCAAGTTTCCCATCTCCACTCTACTACCACGAGCCAAGGGAAGGTTACCACCTTGGTAATAAGCTCTTCCTTCCCATATCCCTAGTAACATATAGAACCCGTAATTCAGGTTTCTATCATCTAGTATCATAGCCCCGTTCTGATCGAGTTGAATAACCCAGGATCACCGGTGACAAGAAATGGTGGTAACCGAGGAACACCCGTTCTGATCGAGTTGAATAACCCAGGAACACCGTAGGCGGGGCGGGGCGGGAATGGGTACCTCTCATCAACCCGACCTGCCCTGACCCGCCCCATTCTCGACCCGTTCTGGTCTAAGTTACATGTAATCTTAGTAAAATTACTTAGAATTTTCCTCTTATTACATCATATTTTAGGTATAAGAAAGTTGTAAATAAGTGAAAAACTCAATCTCTCCAATAATTTAACAACATTTTTATCAAATTATAGTTTCTTTCTTGGTCTTTTAATTAAAATAACAAATAATTCTAAGGTTTTTTGCATAAATTATATACCCAATGGGTCGACCTGCCCCGACCCAGCCCGACCTGCAACGGGGTGGGTATGGGTATCGAGATACCCGCCCCAGGCCTGCCCCATTTCCATTCCTAATCAAACCAAAGTCGAACCAAACCAGGAATTCCAGCAACAGCCTGGAGGGGACAACAGGGTCAAATCGAGCTGGCGGGGATCGGTCGGAGAGCCACAGGCTTTCCACCCTCCATTCGGGACCCCTCAGGCGGTGGGGCGCTATTCGAATCAGAGGAGGGAGGTCAGGCAAGGACCTCAAGATCGGAGGAGCTAGTATGCGAGCCATCCAAGTGGCGAGGGAGGCGCGGAGTTCCAGTACCGGGAGCCAGGATATCGGCGAGGTGACAGGTATTGTGGATATGGTCGGTTTAATGATGGGAAGGATGATTTAGTGTTTACAGCTAAACCTCCAACCATTGAGTTTCCACAATTCAATGGGCAAGAGGATGTAGTGTTGTGGTAGTACACAGTTGACAGGTTGTTCAAGAATCATCCAACTCTAGAGGAAAGGAAGGCGCATCTGGCGCCCTTCTACTTGGAGGGAGATGCTCTGCACTAGTGGGAATGGCTAGAGCAATCTTGTGCCGCCGTCGAGACATTGATCACATGACCCATGTGCAAAGGAGTGCTAGAGGAAACACTGGTGGGGTTGTGCCTGGCAGGCCTGAAGCCAGAGTTGCAGCGGCGGTCAAGGTGTTTGAGCCAGATTCTGTAAGGACTTCTTTCCGTCTTGCAGGTCATAAGGAGGAGGAGATCGCAAGATGGAGAAGCACTATCGGTCTCTACTAGAGGCTGAGTGGAGGAGTAAGCAGTAGCTCGACTGGCGACGGAGGTGGAAGCGCGCTTGTAGGGGCGAGCACAGGAGTTGCAGGGACTACTCCACCAGCGGCTGTGGGGCCCAAACTCGATCCTCGAGCGCCACCAAAAGGCTTCATCAGGCTATCACCTTCAGAGATTGAGCAGAAGAGTAGGGAGGGCAAGTGCTTCAACTGCAACGAGAGGTTCACGGTCGGTCACCAGTGCTCAAAGCCGGATCTGATGATTTTTGTGGGTCGGTGGGAGGACGAAGCAGAGGAGGAGGAGGCGGACGCCAAAGAGGAGAACCAATGAGCTGGAGTCAACATCGAGGGCAAGGTTGTTCTCGAGGAAGCGGGGATGATAGAAACCCGTATTTTCTGCAGTTTGATTATTCGGATTGTTTTGCCAGTTTATTGTTCTTATGACTTATTGGGAGTTATTGTGGGTCATTTGTGAGTATTTAATAATTTAGAATAGCGTCAGAGAACTGTCCAGTTATATATAAATATTCTTGTACGTGGAATTTGAGCCACTAAGTAAGATTAAACCCTAAAGTATTCCCCTAATCCCTCTTCTCTACTCCCTTCCAGTCGAGTTTCTTCTCTCCCTCTCTACAGCTTCTGCAACCCTCTCTTCTTCTTTCCCCATCAATCCCCAAGTTTCCCCTCTCCACTCTACTACCACGAGCTAAGGGAAGGTTACCACCTTGGTAATAGGCTTTTCCTTCCCAAGGGCAGATTCCAATCTGAGAAAGTGGAAGGAAGATATGGAGACTGGAACAAGGTTGGGCACCATGCCCCTGATTCCCCGATGTCGCTATCTCAGAAGAAGACTCTAGGCATGACTGAAAGCAAAGTCGCCGACAATTTCCTCACCTGCGACAATCCCTTGACTGGAGGAAGATTAGTAGACAGACTGCTGGATGGTTGACTCGCACAAAACTACACCGCGAATTAATCCCAACTAGAGCCCAAGTTTTTAAACTCTAGTCAGGTGCAGTATAGGGCAAGTATTTAATTGTCAAACCCGGGTCGGTCCATGTACCCCTACTTCAATCGCTTAAGTTGTTATCTAGCAAAAAAAATTTGGGTTTAAAACTATAGGTGTCAAAACAGAACCCGACTAACCCGACCAATCAACCCGACCCGCAACCTGACCGCAACCCGAATTGACTAAAAGTCAACAACCCGTAACTCGCCTGACCCGCAACCCGACTGACCTGCAACCCGATTAACCCGCAACCCGACCGACTCAACCCAAACTTCACCTAATCCACTTGAATAAGTATTATATTATATAATACGTAGTTTTCAAAATAAAGTTTTTCATTCTAAACTTAGGTAAAATTATTTCTTCATTTCATATTGAAAATTTGAAAATATGAAACTCACATGATATTATGTATTTCAAGAAAATTACGAAAATTGAAACATGAAGGTAACTTGAACACTAAGTTCTTTAAAAAAATTCAAAAAGTAAATATAAAATATAAAATCTGCACAATTTTAATATTAATAATTGAGATCATGGACAATATTAATATAATATATTAATTAAAATTTTGGTTAATTGAACAATTTAATAAAGTTATCAATTAAATATAAATAAAGTAAAACAATGTATTTGGTAATTTGATGCTTTTAAAAGAATAGGAAATTTTTGATGTATTCAACTTTTTGGGAAGAGAAAGAAGAGGAAAATTAGGTTCTTTGAATTTTTTAGAAAAGAAAATGGAGGAATTTGGTGGTTTTGATTTGTGGGAAATGGGAAAGTTTGATTCTTTTGATTATGAAAGAGAAATAAGGAGGGAAATTTTGAGTTTTCAACTTTTGGGTTAATAGCATTTTGTACCCCTCTACTTTGGTAAATTAACAAACGTACCCCTTTACTAAATTTTGGCACAAACATACCCTTTTAATATTAAATCGTAACAAATCTACCCTTCTATCTAATTATCCGTTAATTGGCCGTTAAATGGCCTGAAAAATGACCCAATTGCCCCTCATTTAGTCTTAATTCCAGTTTTAATTATTTTATTATTTATGTCCAAAATCAATTAATTAGAAAAACAAAACCCCTACACTAATTCAGAAGCACCCGATACCACATACCAGAGACAACCCATCTCCTTGAAGTCTCCCCTAACGCCTGCTTCCGCATCTCCTCTCAGGCGGCGGCTGGAGTAGAGAGAATCAGCACCGCCATTCGTAGTTTACCAGAGAAGGGAAACTTGCTCATCACACAAAGGGAAAAAACAAACTACCGCTACTAATCAAACGCTGCCATGGTAGAGGGGTACGTTTGTTAATTTACCAAAGTAGAGGGGTACAAAATGCTATTAACCCTCAACTTTTTGTGGAAGGAAGAGGGAAATTTGATTCTTCCAATGTAAGAGAAAGAGGAGGGAAATTTGGTTCTTTCAATTTTATGGAAGAGAAAGAGGAGGAAAAATTTAGTGTTTCTAATTTATGGAAGGAGAAAGAAGGAGGGGAATTTTAGTATTTTTTTTGTTTGTGCAAATGAAAGAAGAAAACAAATTTGGTATTCACAACAATCATTTATTTTAGAAAAGTTCACTTAATTTGTCTACTTGTTTTATATACTTCTACATTTAGTGCAATTTCAACGCTACATGATTGTTATTTTACAGCACTTATTAAAATTTGCACATTTAAGTTGTGTTCAAGTTGAACTTTCATTTCAAAATGGGTGTTAAACTTGGTCTGTTAAGTCTTATGATTGCAATAACTCAGTCGGGTTGCCAGTTTGAAAATTTTGGTTAATCGAGTTGCCGGTCACTTTGGAATGGAAAATGATTGGGATGTTTGGATGGAAACTTTGGAATGAAAAATTTATGGGCGGGTGAATATGAGTCAACAATTATACTAAACTTTATAAGTAAGTTTTGACGGTTCGTTGTTTAGGGTATAAAGTATATGGTTAGGGTATTGGGTATAAGGTATAAGGTACAGATGGTTTAGGGAGTCTATGGTTAGGGTATAAGGTATTGATGGTTTTGACGGTTCTAAGTTTTTTATAAACATATGTTCACTTGAAGTCATTTAAAATCTTTAACGACATGTGATCCCTTTTTAATTTATGTTTTTGGTACGTGGTTAGGGTACAAATTATATGGTAGAGTATAGGATATATGGTTAGGGTATAGCAAATATCACTTTTTATCTATGTTTCGAAAATCAAAGTATGAATTTCACTTTCAATTAACTCTACTAGGGTATAGGGTATGTTGATGGTTTAGGGTATACGATCAACAATATATATTAACTTAATATTGTCGATTGAGAGTAAAGCTGTTCACTTTCATTTTCGTTTCCTGTTTTCTGTTTTCATGTCATAAATTTAGCAACCCAAATAAGAAAACTTGTTTACTTTTCATTCTGTTTTGTATTCGTTTCCAATTATGAAAACAAAAAGTGGCAACTTCCTCCTGTTTTTGGAAACTACAAAATATTGTTTTCACCTGTTTTCAACATCTGTTTTCTCAAAAACAGGAAACATAATTGAAAGTAAACAGGCCCTAAGTGTATATGATATATGTTATCGAGTAAGTTATGATTGAAGTCACAACAATTTTACTAAATTTGATAGTTAATCTTTAATGGTTCAATTTTTAGGGTAATTCGAACAATTTTACAAATAACTCATTTCACAACAGTTTACTGAAGTTATTAGAGCAATGAGTTATTTCAAAATAACTTCTTTTATCACTTTGCTTTTGCCAAATACCACATGCCAAATACCAGATTTGCATGGTTATACTAAACGAGATACTTTAATCCAATTACTATTGAAATGATATTAAAATACCAAATAAATAATTAATGGTATCTTTTGGTTGCAAATGTTGATATAACCATTACTATTAACTAGTTTACTTTACCAATTACGATTAATTACATAACAAGTTTGCAATTCATATAAATTGATTCAACATTTTGACTAGTTTTTTAAAAATTAAGTATATATACGAGGTAGAAAGAAATTGGTTAAAAATTGAGAAAAATATTTTAAATTAATGTAATAAAATGTGTAAGTTGGTAACGAGTAAGGAGTAAGTTACTCGATGCGCTGACCCATACAACCCGCAGCCCGATCCCTACAACCCGCCAGCAACCCGCGGGACCCAAAACCCGATCGAACCCGAACCCAATGAACTCGCAACCCGACTAACCCGCAACCCGTTTGAACCCGAACCCGATGAACCCGAACCCGATAAACCTGCAACCCGTTTGAACCCGAACCCGATTGAAGCCGGCCCGAACCCGCCTGATTGACACCTATATTTAAAACTATGAAAACTACAAATGAAAACAAGCAAGTAAGGCAAAATGGGTGGAAAACTCTAAGTGAGGAGCTTCACTCGGGTGCTGCTTTCCCCTAACCAACTAGCAAGAACCGTGGGATTGAGTGAAGTGTCGTGTGACGAGGAAATTGTGACCCGTTGGAGGTGCAACAATGGTTGGAAACCATTCTCCCAATCTCTAGGCCAAGGTATGGGTCAAAGGCTACAATTGTAGCCCTCATGGCCCAAGCAATTTGAGGTTGACTTACCTTCTCTCTCAAACTAAGGGTTTGGACGATATAATCACAACTAACCCAGATGTCTAATTCAAGCTTAGAGGTTTTCCCTTAATTAACCTAGAATAGAAGGCATGGAATGCCCAAGGAAACCCATCTCTAAAAGAGCCTCTTAACCAAAGGAGGTCTCCTCTCTAAGCTAGGTTAGAATGGCAATTAGATTGATAGGCTTTCACACAACACAATCATTCATGAATAACTCAAACCTTAAATTAAACACCTCCATCACACAACCAATTACATGATAGGAATTAAGGTTCTACAATACCCAAGTGAAAAAGGAAACTACTCCATGCTAGATAAAGGAAGAAGAAAGAATCCATCAATGTGATGCCTCCAACCCTCCTTGTGCTTGTAGAACTCCTCATTGGGAGAGGATCTTCCAACATCTTCACTTGGAGCAAACCCTAGCCTCTTCTCCCTCTTAGTTCGTCACTTTTTCTCTCTAGGGTTTCAAGTAGAAGGCTCTCCCCCCTTTTGGGGCTCTCCCCTCTCTCTTCCTTTCAGCTCAGATTTTATACTGGGATCGGGATAAGTTCACGGCTTCAGTTCACGGTCGTGAACTCCTCAACGCGTTCGTGAACTCGGAGTTCTGTATCGAAACGCACCACTTCACTGACTTGAGTTCACGGTTTGCACTCAAAGTTCACGTTCTTGGTGACCGTTAACTCACTCAGCGTCAGTAACCTCTGAAACCGCCTTGCATGTTTGACTTTCTGGTGGCGTGGGTCCCATCGAAGAGAGAGAACAGGGGAGGAACATCCCAAGAAATCATCAATACCTTCTCTGTGTGCAACGACTCTAATGTAAGGAGATCCTAGGGAAGCGCTCTGACCACCCCTTGGATTTGCCTCTCCAACACCTGCTGATACAAAAGGTAAAGCAATAAGACTGAAGGTGGCGGTGGATGTCCCGCTATACCATCCAAGAACCCTTTTTCATGGAAGAGGACGACAGACAGGGTAATCAAGGAGAACAGTTTATGTAGGGTATGAGACAATGCTCTGGGGCCCAATCTTACCCGCACCAGTTCATGGGCTTGAATAACCCTTCCCTTCCTTTCTACAACCAGATGGGCCAGGGAGGCTTCCTCCCAAAGCCAAATTACATGAACACGTGGAATGAGAATGGACTCATTAACCAGGCCCAGCTTCCCCTCCTATTTTGGGATAATAGGCAGATCGAAGCCCAGTACCTTAGCCATTGGGGTCTCAAGCAGGAGCAGTCTAGGAAGAAACTGAAGGCAAGCAGAAAAAGGAAGTCTGGAGTATGTATCAAGGAACACAGCTCTCTTCAAAATCAAGTCAGCGACAAAAGGGAAGAAGCAGAAGACACAAATGTTGGTAAGGTGGAGATGGCTCACCTGATGCCATAAGGAGAACCATGACTACACCATGCTAGAACTGTCGTGGTCTTGGTCCAGACACGACAGTAAATCACCTTAGAGACATCCATAGGTCTTTTAGACCTATCATAACATTTTTAATGGAGACAAAACAACAAGAAAGCTACATGGAAGTGCAGAGGCATAGAGCCAAATTTTACAATAAGTGGTATCGTAACCCCACGGGGAGTAGGGGCGGATTAGCTTTATGGTGAGTCAAGGGCCTTGAGCTCAATGTAATTGACTCTTCAAAGTATTTTGTTCATGCTTTTGTTAAATTAGGTAGTGGTTTTTTCATCACTTTCCTCCATGCCCCTAATGATCTTAGTGAAAGGGGGGCCTTTTGGGAGGAAATTTCTAGATTTAAACCTATTAATAGTAGTATGTGACTTTTGTTGGGGGATTATATTGCGGTGTTAAGGGATAGCGAGAAACTTGGACGAAACCCTCCTAGAAGAGTCTCAACTGAACCCTTTAAGGAATTCGTGACTAACAATGACCTTTTGGAAATTGACTCTAAAGGGACAAAATATACTTGGTCGAATATGCAGTAGGGGACTAGGAAGCTGCTTTGTCGACTTGATAGGGGCTTACACAACCTAAAGTGGAGAGAATATTTCCCTGATGCTTTCATCTTCAATGAACCAATGGTTGTTTCTGACCATTGCTTGCTTTGGCTGGAAATTCATGGAGTCAATAAGCCCCGTAATGCTATCTTCCATTTTGACCAGAGATGGCTACAATACGAAAATTGTGGCACCATTATTAAAGAGATTTGGGCTAAGGGAGGTAATCATCAAAATTACCTCTCGAAATGCAGAATGGAGCTTCAAAATTGGGCTAAAGTGAACATACATAATGCTGCAATTAGAATCCGAAGCATTAAAAGAAGGCTTGAAGAGATATCAAACTTAACTCATTACCCTCTCTCTGCGGAGGAGGTAAGAACCCTAGAAGCTGAGATCAACAATCTCTGGATCGAAGAGGAAATTTTCTGGAAACAAAGATCTCGAATTCAATGGCTACATACTGGGGACTGCAACTCCAGATTCTTTCACGCTACTACCATCCATATAAGCTTACGTAACAATGTTGCAAAGCTGATGGATGAAAACAATGATTGGATTGAATCTCATACATTGCTTCAACGGCATGCGATGTACTTCTATTCTGGATTGCTCACAAAAGGAGATGTAGTGAGCAATGATGAGTTAATTCACATCATCCCCTCGGTGGTTAATGACCTCATGAACTCGACGCTCTGCAAGTCGGTGGAATATATTGAGATTAAATAAGATGTCTTTGAGTTGGGATCAACTAAGTCTCCTGGACCCGATGGCTTTCCAGGAATCTTCTACAAGAAATATTGGGAAACTGTTGGCAGCCAGCTCTGTACGGAGTGAATAACTTCTTTGAGAATATCTCAATGCCGCAAAGTTGGAATGACACACATCTGATCCTCACACCAAAAGTGGCAAGTCTGAAAAGAATTTCACAGTTCAGACCAATTAGTTGTTGTAACTTCCATTACAAGGTCATCTCGAAGGTTCTAACTTCAAGATTTCATCAATGGATACACACCATTATCTCGGAGATGCAAGCGACCTTCGTGGGTGGCATGGCTATTCAGGACAATATCATCATTGTTCATGAAGTTCTGCATCACTTCAAGACTAGACCCAAAGGAGGCAACTGGGATATGATGATCAAGCTTGATATGAAAAAAGCTTTCGACATGGTCGAATGGGACTGTTTGGAGGATATCCTGAGAGCAATGGGGTTTGCTAACCAATGGTGTGTCTGGATTAAGTAATGTGTGTGAACTGTGCATTTCTCTATCATCTTAAATGGGCAACCCTCTCCCTTCTTTCAACCTACAAGAGGAATTCGCCAGGGAGACCATCTTTCCCCTCTTCTCTTTATCATTCTCTCTAATGATATAGCTTGCCTAATTGATAAGAATGTGAATGACAATATTTTAAAGGGGATCACTATCAACCCCCGTTGTCCTAGGCTTACGCATGTTCTTTTTGCAGATGACACTATCATTTTTGGCAAGGCATCTGTCAATGAAGTTGCCCTCATCAAGGATACTATTGAGAAATATGGGATCCTTACAGGCCAGATCATCAACAGCTAGAAATCAACGATCACTTTCAGCAATAACACTCTGATTTCCCTTCAGAACCTAATTGCCATCTTCATGAACATCCCATCTTTAGAAGGGATGGGAAAATACTTCGGAGTCCCATCCGAATGGGGCCGCTTTAAAAAAGAAATGTTCTCTACTCTGATTTCAAGAATGGAAGGTCTTGGCCAATTTTGAAAAAGCCTTGCTCTCTCTCAAGCAGGGAAAAAAGCCCTCTTGAAATCCATCTACCAAAGCTATCCGACTTACATGATGTCATGTTTCCTCCTCCCAAAAGGCACCACATGTATCATGGACTCTAAGCTTAAGGCCTTCTTCTGGGGAGGGAACATGGACAAAGGAACCATTCATTGGCGAAAATGAAGTGTCCTAACGAAAACAAAGCAAGAGGGAGGGATGGGGTTCAAGGACTTTCATCAGTTCAACATGGCTTTGCTGGCTAAACAAGGATGGAGAATCCTCAACGGAAAAGGAGGAGACATGGATTAAGCTCCTCAAGAGTATATTTATCCCTAACACTGATTTTCTGGATGCATGAAACCTTCTTGCATTTGGGCGAGCATCTGTGATGCCAAAGAAGTTCAAAAATTGGGCGCTAGGAAAAATATGGGAAATGGGAGAAGTATTAACCTTGACAAAGACCCTTGGATCCCGTGCGTCCCGAATTTTCATCTCCAACATAATCAAAGGCAACATCTTAAAGCCTTTGAATGGGTTATGACTGACGTGAACGAGTGGAACCTGGACATGATTCGTCAAAGTTGCTTTGTGCCGGAAGTTGAAGCGATCAGGCACATCCCCTGTGGCTGAACTGAGACTGAGGATTCCTGGGCTTGGCATCACGAGAAATCTGGACGCTTCACAGTTAGATCAACATACCATATCTTCCGGAAGGCTGAGAAAGAGAGACTAGGAACCCTTTGATATGATCCAAATCCGAAGAAAACCCTCGACCTCAGATGATATGACCAAAGTACGCAGCTTCAAGGATCTTTTTATAATTTTCTGATGTCGCCTTTCTTGAAATCGAAAATAAAATATAGGATGGAGCTGCGTACTTTGGTCATATCATCCGAGTTCGAGGGTTTTCTTCGGATTTGGATCATATCAAGTGGTATCAAGATCCCGGTTCAAACTCAGCGGCGATTTTGAAGATCTCTTATTCAAAATTAGTGGCAAGGAGAAGATCTTATCAAGCGATGGCAGAAGAGCTAGAACAAGGTAATATGTTTTTTACTCGTTGTTGGGTTCAAGAGAAGTTATGTTTTGTGGCTATTGATGGGGAGATCAAATCCAATTTGATCAGTTCAAGGGCAGTAGCTAAGTTAGGGCTAACTGCACACCGACATCCTAGCCCTTTCATTATGCAATTGTCGATGGAAAAGGCCTGGGTTTTTGTGATTGAACAAGTGACTTTGGAGATCAAAATCGGGTCTTATGTGGATCAAATTCAATGTGATGTCGTGCCTATGAAGCTTACTCATGTGGTGCTTGGTAACCCATGGCATAATGATCGCCAAGCACGATGAAGCAGAAGCACCAACAACATCATCTTAAGGCATCAAGAAAAGAAACTTGCCTTGATACCGTTATCGTTGGAAGGGGTTGCTGAAGATAGAAGGGAATTACAACGAGCCTATAAGGAGGAGCAGGCAAATCTAGAAGCAAAGAAATCATCGATCCACTCTCCAGACTCGCAGAAGGAGAAAAAGGAGGTTCTTGTTGATGGACTTACTATAGTCACTTGTGAAGAGGATGCACAAGCTTTGATTTCACCTCAAGAAGAACCAGAACTTGAAGCATAAGATTTAGAAGAGGTAGGAGAGGTGAAAGAAGATGTTCTTGTTGATGTGGCAGTGTTGAGTGCACCTGAAGTTGAGCAATACATTGAGGAACCAGATTTCGATCTAGGAGATGAATGCTTGAAAATTTATGGAGCATTTACCAATAGTTTCCAAAGTTGCTAATATTGATTTTGTGATTGGTGATGCAATGTTAGAAGAGGCATCCCACCGGGAGAATCGACAAGAAATTCAACATTACGTAGAGGACTTTCATCATGATGGTGTCTCTACAATTCGTGGACGAATTGTCTTTAAGAAGGGGGACATGATACAATCATCACTCCCAAGTCAATTTAGTTCAAAGACAAAGAAGACGAGGGTTGAGGAGCGATCAAGATTCTCCAAAGATTCGAGGTCGAATCTTCTTCAAGAGAGAGGGAATGATGTGATTACGACTAGCGCGGTATTCAATTCTCGTGGTCTCAAAATAAAGGTTCAAACTCAACGATATAAGGATCAACTGGGAGCATTCTTGATGGATAAAATGAGAATGCTTTAAGGATCCGGCCTACAACATTTCTTGGAGCCCAAAACCTCCATCCTTGCTGCCCAAGTTGTCCAAATGTGAAAAGGACAAGGAAAGAGATTGCTTAACCACTAAGGAGCTTTCTTAAGCATTAAAAATGCGTTTGGAGATTACTTAGCTGCTAAGGAGCTTCCTTTGGTCTAAAAATGAGTTATAGTCCTTATTTAAGTGGTATTATGCTTCCTAGTTAGTTTGGGATTTTTTTTCCTATTCCTTTTAGGTTAGTTTTATGTTTTTGTGACCTCTATAATTAGAGGATGTAAGAGCTACGAATTTTGTACCCAATATTCAGAAATCAATTCAAGAGTTTTACTCGAGTTCCATAGGAATGTTTTGTGCAAGCTTACGTCGAGAGTCTCCAGAAGTTTCACATGTCTCTTATCAACTAGATAACGCGTCTAGTTGTGGCGAACATCTACCCTATATCAATTTCCCCTTTCCACGAGTTGGTGTTGTTCGATTGGTTTAATATACCAATTGCCCTTCATCACGAGTTAGGAATTGTCTGATTGATTCCGCATCTATCTTTATTTCCAAGTTGTCAAGGAAAAGGCTTCGAAAATCCTTAAAAATAAGGAAGGTTGCGTACTTTGGTCATATCATCCGATTTCGAAGGTTCTCTTCGGATTTGGATCATATCACCCCTGACCCTAATCATCCAGGTTGCTCAGAACAAGCTTGGAAATGGCTTTGGAGCTTGTCGCTCCCTCCTAAGATCAAGAACTTCATTTGGAGACTGAGGTGGAATGTTGTTGCGTCAATGCGGAATCTCTGGTTTAGGAAAGTCGTCCCTCTCCTTCTAGTATTGTACCATGTGTCAGAATGATGTTGAAGATGTGAGGCACATTGTTTTCGAATGCCCCCATGCCTCCCATGTCTGGCATTTGTGCTTTGCAGGACTCCAGCTACCCTCCGACTCTTTGCCAATTCGTGTGTGGCTCTACCAAATCTCGTTAGGCACCTCATCATTCTTTGTGAAGGCTATAATCGCCTCCCTTTGAACAATTTGGAATGCCCGAAACGAGTTCGTTTTCAGAGGGACTCGTCCGAGGGGCTTCATTACCATCTCAAATGCTATCCGCTATGCATCAAATTGGAGTGTTAACCTGCGAACCACTGTCCCTTCCCCTGAAAATCATCCTATCCATCCCCGTATGAACCTTAACCCACCGCCCGGTATGTTCCAACTGGAATTACACTGTAATGGAGCCTTTATCTCGGAATCGGAGGCGGCGACTTACAACGTAGTTGTCTGTAACTTTGTTGGCCAAGTGATCGACGGAAGGTTTGTACACTGTTTTGTTCAGAAGCGATTGTGGCAGAAGCAAATGCCTTACTACACTCAGAGTGGCTAATGACTATGAGCTCTCGACAAGAATCTGCTCTGACTGTAAAACTATCATTGATGTGTTGCACTCTTCTCAGGCAAATCATGTCCTGGATCCATTGTATGCGCACTATCATTTCTCAAAACGATAGAATCGTAGTTAATTTTGTTCTTGTGCTTGTAACAAGATGACTGATTGGGTGGCTAAAGAGGCTTGTAAATGACTTCTTCCATATGATTGGATCCACATTCTAAACATTGTTTCTCCTATGTTGTAGAAGGCCTTGCTTGTAACACAATCTATTTTGAATAAAGCTCAGTCTTTTGTAAAATAAAAACAACCATTAAATTTTAAACCACCTAGCAAACTGATTCGATAGCTTAATCATGTTTGACCAGCGACGGATCTAGGGGGGCCGCCCCTGGGCCACGGCCCATCCCTCCCTCGATCCGGAGCTAGTATAACACTTGAAAATTTTCGATTTTCGGTGTCCGTTTTGGTGTTCGTTTCAGTGTTCGTCGTGTTACGGCCCAGCCTTCTCTGCTTTTTCCAATGTGGCACAGTGCTCTATCCAATCCTGAATCCGCTTTGACAACCTTCCTCCATACATCACCTATGAGGCTCTATGAGGCTACGAGTGAGACTGTGAGGTTAAGGTAACATGGTGGAAGTTTATTTATTAGTTTAAATATATTTGGACTGGGTCAGTTAAGCCTACGTACTAGAGCCTGAAACTAGGAAAAAGAGATAAGGAACTAGCTAGTGAGTAGCCATTATTGGGGTTCGCGAAGCTTGCTGCAGAAGCTGACATTGTTTGATATCCGAGACCCACCACCACCGCTCCTATTGCCACAGAATAGAACATACAACACAGACAGCGGTCAGCACCCCAAATGGACATTCTTCCATCTCTAGTTCCCACCCAAACACTCTTCCCCATCCCACGCGTATCCATAGTACCTCCCAACCTTCCTTTCTGCCAACTCTCTGTTACCAAGAAACTCCAACCCTAACCGCAAAACCCAACCTACCTAACCCACAAACGTCACATTACCAACAAAATACCCCAGCATTTGGTCACCTTCTCTTTTGGTCCCTGCAAAATTCTACACTTTCACTTCACCAGTCGATTCTGATTTCTGATATGCCAAGAACAGAGAATCGGGTTTGAGAACAAAAGACACTTCTTTAACATTTTAAACTAGACCCAAAATGAAACAGAGGAGAAGAAGCCCTCCTCAAAATCCACAAGCTTCTCCTCCTTCTTCGCTGTAACTGAAGCTGGGATACACACCAAAAAAACCCAGAACCCTGACACAAGTATTTCATCACATCTCCCTCCCCCCCAACCTTTGTTGTTATACTAAATTATAGAAAACTACTAATTAACTAAGCCCAAAACAAACCAAAGAGATCGAATTGGCGGAAAATCAGCGACCTCTGTTCTCCGATCTTCACTTCAATCAACCAACCCGCCGGCCGGGAATCACAAACGACGGCCAAGCCAGCCCTTCCGGGTCCACATAACAACTTCCCACACTCCCAATCTCCGACTCACTCCATATGTTCACCCCGCCGCCGCCCATCGCTCCTGCGTCCCCACCGCCGCCGCAGACGCCGAGGTAGTCTGTAGTTGTGGTGGTAGCAGCAGTAGCCGCGGTGGTGGAAGCAGGGTAGTACGGCCAGATTTCCCTCGGGGCAACATTACCCACTGCTGCCAACCCGAGACCCATATCGTAGAACCCGTACCCGTGACCTGACCCGTACCCGGCTTGGTACCCGACGAGCCCGCCTCCTGCCGTTTGATTGTTGAGCAGGGAGATGAAGCTTCCGCTTACATTCGCGATTCCGTTCTCGCTCGCCGAGACCGGCTGCTGATTCTCCTTCAGATTGCGGAACTCGTCTAACCTCCCCTCTTCGGCAGAATTGAAAACCGGCAGGGCCGGGTCGGGTCCGAGGTGGAGCGGCGGGTCAGGGTAGTGATCGTGCTGCTGCTCGTGAGTGAGGGATGACATCGAATTGGCGGAATTCGAGGACGAGGAGGTCGTAGTATTGGTGGACGCCGAGGAATCCATGTTGGTGGTGGTGGTTGTGACGGCGGCCGCGGCAGCAGAGGAAGCGCGTGGGCGCTTGGAGGAGGAGGCGGCGGAGGACTTGCGGGTGCCGCCGCCGACGGGGACGTTGCGGAGGGAGCCGCCCTGGGTCCAGTACCGTCGGCAGGACTTGCAGAAGTGGCGGGGCTGGGAGAGGTTGTAGTTGTTGTAGTAGCAGAACTTCGTGTTCGTCGATTCGCACCTCGGGCACGGCAGAGACGGCGCGTCGTCGGCGCTCCCAACCATGGCGGCGGAGGCCGGGGTTGGAAGAGCTTGCGTCGCCTCAATCGCCGTCTGATACTCGCTGGATTCTGACGGCATTTGATCGAACTTGCAGTGAAATTTCTTTTTCTTTTTCTCTTTCTCGGAGGCAGAGATTTTGGCTGAGGAGGATTCAGCGGTGGAGTGTGTGGGTTTATAGAGAGAGGGGAAGAGGAAGAAGAAGGCGGTGAAGGGATGGGTTCTGATCCCCTGCTTCCAGTTTCATTCACTGTGTTGTTGATATTGTGTGCGGGATCTTGACACGTGTACGGTCTAGGGGTCGTAGATGCAGGGTGGCTGAGGGATGATGAAACTTGTGATCTGGTGCGCCTATGTTTTCCCATGTGTTCTCAATTCTCATGCCCTGTTCTTGACGGGACGGGACCTAACCAAATTCGGTCAGTTTCTAGAAAACGTTTCGGTTAATTACAAAATTATATATTCAACGGGGTGGCTAAATGGTTAATTACCATTTGGCGTCATTGGAAGAGTGAAGAACCTATAATGGTAGGGGAACTAAATAGGAATAACGATGATGGTTAATGTGTAATGGCGTTTAGGATTTAGGGAGGTGACTAATCAACTCATAAGAACTGTAATTGGCAGGAGGACACATGGTTCTAAACTTCTAATGTGCGTGGTCACGTGATGTGTACGTTGTGGTAAAATTAGTGCGAGATTTTGTCGTTTTCAGAGGATTCAAACATGTATATGAATATCGTGGCGTTTTTTTTATTTCTCTTCTCTCCCTCCAATTGAAACATACACATATGAAACGGTTTGGTGACTTGTAGGGGTCCACTCTGGAAAATTTGTTGTTGTTTGCTTTCTAATGCACTGTATATCTTTCAGTTTCAACTACCGGCTTTTGTAGGTTTCGATGTCGTCAACAGAGATGTCAGACACGACTTGGCTTAATTGGTTGTGACTTTGAAGTTGATGGCGTCTGCTTTCTGACGATATTTGGATTTTCCTTTACGTTACGACTACCGAATTTTGTAGGATTCAATTATGTTTATTGTTGCCAATCAGTAACGTTTTCAGACGTGGCTTGACTGACAAATTCAAAGCGCAATATATGGACTGCCTTAACTAAGCAACATTTTAACTCGACCATATCTCGTGAAGTGAATACATGCATTTAGTGTTCCATGCTTCCTCACTCACACGTTGCTTTCCATTCAGTTTCAAACCACAGACTTTTTGTACAACTTAATAAAGTTGTTGCAGCGTAACGTTTGTCAGACTTAGTTGAGTTGATGGAACAACATCACTAAACCAGTTAATTGAGTCGCATTTGTAGCTAAACCATACTCTAGAGTTAACATTAACATTATAGTTATCTTGGGTACTAGCTAGTAGCTACATCTAGATGATGATGTGTGAAGGATTAAATGTAGAGAATTCAACCATCTTCACTTTCGTAGGGCTTTGATGATGCACCCCATTGCATCTTATCTGGAGCCAAGTTGTAGGCTATAGTTTCTTCCTTTTTTTTCACCGGAGTTTTTATAATTATTGACTAGAAACTATATGCTATAATTATTTATTCACCGCATGATAAGTCCAACACCATTCATCATTGAAGTCCAACCTAGGTCTTCGCGGAGATTAGGACGTGTAACCGAGAAACAACGATCATTAAACTAATGAACAAAGGTACCCTTTGATTACGGCTTGGTTCCTAGGATGTGAATCAAAATGATATTGTATAATAATGCTGTTAAGGGAATTGATATGATTAATTATCATGTGTCGGATTATATATTACAATTTATATGCTTAATGATTTGTTATTTCCACTTATACCGCCACTAGTCATTGGCTTTGACAGGAACACACGCATACACATATCATGATCCAATTGTCAAACACAATTATTAATGGGCATTGGGCAATCGACATGATTAAGGGTACAATTACATAATCACATTCTTCTCAAATTCTTAGTATTTCAAGCGTGTAGTGTGATCACATGTAACGTCCAAATTGTGATTTCTTAAACCATTGCTCAGGGAAATGTTTAAGTTGCGATATACATCATCGTTCAATTTTGCTATCGGTAAAACGAGTTTGGAAATACCCAAATACTCAAATCCGCATTTAGTTCTCTAAGCACATTCAACATCTTGGTTACAAAATTGATATACTTGACGATACTTATTAGATTGCTTGAAATAAACTTGGAATTCAAATTGATACAAAACGAGCCCGCGAGTGCCAGAGGAATGAGCAAGGTTGGATGGGGTAGTCTGTAGAGTGAAGTAATGGGGATGGATAGATGAGAAATGAAAGGGCCGACAAGATCCGAAGGTTGTTGTCTGGAAGCGTGGGGAACAATATACTCCACTCACTCTTCCTTCCCTTCCTTGTGTTGCAGTCAGCTTATGATTCTGCCATCTGCCGCCCGCTTTCCCCACAAAACCCGCAAACTGACTTCTCGGCTGCCACGGCGACTGCTCTCTCTTCCTCCTCCCTGTTCCCACCTTACTCCTGGATGATACGCTGCCGTTCGCCTGTGCGGTTGAACGAGTTGTCGCTCTCACGAGAAGGAGATTGAAGATTTCCTTGGATATATTTTTGGAAAAAATCCAAAACTACCACTGTTTAAATAAAAATTACAAAAATACCACCCACTCCAAATAATTTTCAAAAATACCATCCTTTATTTAAAACCGCGCCTCTATGAAGCGGTTTTTACTGAAACCGCGCTTCCACGAAGCGTTTTAGATAATAACCGCGCCACGGAAAAGCGTTTTTAATTTCCAGAACAAAACGCTCTAGAAAGAAGCGGTTATAGGCTAACCCTACCACAAAACGCTTTAGGAAAGAGCGTTTAAGTGTCGGCATTACAAACCGCCTACCCAAAGGGCGGTTTATAGTGTCAGGACACAAACCGCTTCTCCAAGCGGCGTTTTATAGTGTCAGGACACAAACCGCTGCCCCAAGGCGCGGTTTGTGCCTGGTCAACCGACAGCCAACATGTCGAACATGTCGGCATGCAGGGGGTAGGGCACGTAGGGCTTCATGGCAGACTAAAACCGCCCCCCCCCCCCCCCAGCGGTTTTGGTGCAAAATTTGCCTATAAAAGGCGGTTTCAGAGAACTCAATTCTTCACACCTCCTCCTCTTCCTTCTTAAAATTTCAGCTTTAAATTATTTAGTTTTTGCGATTAACGTTTATTCGTAAGTTTGTTTCGTAATTACTTTTCATTGTCCTTTGTGATTTTATGTTAGTAACTTAATTACTTTTCATTGTCCTTTGTGATTTTATGTTAGTAACTTAATTACTTTCCATTGTCATTTGTGATTTTATGTTAGTAACTTAATTACTTTTCATTGTCATTTGTGAATTTATATTAGTAACTTAATTACTTTTCATTGTCCTTTGTGATTTTATGTTAGTAACTTAATTACTTTCCATTGTCATTTGTGATTTTAGGTTAGTAACTTAATTACTTTTCATTGTCATTTGTGATTTTATGTTAGTAACTTAATTACTTTTCATTGTCATTTGTGATTTTATGTTAGTAACTTAATTACTTTTCATTGTCATTACTTTTCATTGTGATTTTATGTTAGTAACTTAATTACTTTTCATTGTCATTTGTGATTTTATGTTAGTAACTTAATTACTTTTCATTATCATTTGTGAATTTATGTTAGTAACTTAATTACTCTTCATTGTCATTTGTGATTTTATGTTAGTAACTTAATTACTTTTCATTGTCATTTGTGATTTTATGTTAGTAACTTAATTACTTTTCATTGCAGATGGCATTCCAAAGGTTCACGCTTGGGTTGCGGTGGAATGGTTACACGGAAGAGACCGAAAAGGGTGTAAGTTACGTCGGTGGCAATTTTTATAAAATGAAGGTCCATACTAGACCGATGCTTGAAGAGCTCCGAATGAGCCCAACCTCTCGACCCGCCGCCAAAGGATCTGCCGTCCGCGCGAGGTCGTGGATTCGCTCGATGCCATCAACCTAATTCGAAGAAAATAACAAAGTTAGCCATTTAAAAAATAATGCACCGCATGACTAAAAAAAATAAATAATAATAATTACTTACCAAAGCTCCGTCCGCCGCTCCTTCGGGGGTCATGTAGCGAACAGATTGTCGACGGTAGGTTTCCAGGTATGGGTCATGGTAGCCCATCCGCCCCACATTAGATGCCGTCACAATATCCTGATCTTGCCTAACATTCCAAAGGCGGATCAAGTTTCCATACTCCTCCGGCCAATTAGTAGGCCCCTATCGACCATCTTTCCCGTGGTACCCCTTCTGACTCTCCGGGACATCCAATGGTATGCATTGCTCACGTCCAAATTGTCGTAGACATCGATCCGGCAAGTGCCACTCCACTATATGGTGGCAGATTAGTGGAACTCTGGTGCACCACTGACCGGGATGTAACGGGAATTTGTGAACGTGGTGCGCAACAATCCGTTCTGGATACGGATCGAACTTGAGCTACAACGGTTTATAAAAAAAAATCATTAATCAACATAATAATATAACATAAAAAAGTAGATTTTAATATCGTATTATGATGCTCACCTCTGCTTCCCAAAGGCGATCAAGCCTCCTACGATACTCCTCCAACTTATGCGCTCCTAGGTTGTCGCACGTTTTTTCACCAAGCCACCTATTCAATCCAAATAGTATGGAGTGTTAATACATAATTCCCAACTCGTTATAAAATATCCAATTAGTAAAAAATTGTGAGAACTATGAGTGGGATAGAAAACATTTACCTACAACCATAAGCTTCATGTCGTAGGGGATGGTCGGGACCCCATTCCCTGTCGGGTTCAACCTTCGGCGCAATCCATGGCAAATGCTCCCACGCCCAAAATTGGACGATGAACATAGCCCCATCAATCTCCTTCACCGCTCTCGCACTAGCATTGCATAGAGATCGGTAGAGATGAGCTAAGCAAGCAGATGCCCAACTCAGGTTTCCCATGTCATCCCAATCACCAAGTATGATCTTCAACCATGAATTGCTGATTAGGTTGTTGGATTTCTTGGGGAAGAAGACTCCTCCGATCATGCCGAGGATATAGATACGTGCATAAATTTCTTTATCATGTTCCGAACTTTCCTCCGTGAGGGGAATGCCTCCGAACTCAGGGTTGTGCTTACGCCTGATCTCCGCTGTCAACCAAGTGATGGATACTTGGCCCTTGGACAATGGTGGATGACCATCCGCATCGTGATCTCCCTTCTCTGGCGGACACAACCCAGTGACCGTCCATATAAAATGTTGCCAACCACTCATATTGGCAACAACTTTAGGTGGTGGCGTAGAATCCACACAAACAACATCACCTTCGATGGGGAGATCGGTTAAGATGGCGATGTCCTTAAGTGTGATGGTGCACTCGCCTTCACGAAAATTGAAGCAGTGTGTCTCCTTTCGCCATCTCTCTACCATCGCCGTGATGAGTTGGCGATCGATCTTGATCCCATTGAAATGCCGAATCGAATCCAATCTTGCCCTTTTTAGAAAGGGCAAGATGACGTCGTTCCATTCAAGCACATTCGTTGTGCCCCTATAGCAGACTATATGGTACGCATCCTAGAAAAAAAATTAATTTTCATTATAAGTTGATGATTTATACATATATAAATATATTATGTTGATACAATTTATATATAAATAAAGGTTGTTTTAGAGAAATATACATTATCTAATAAATATTTATTTTAACATAACTAAAATAATTTTCTAAGATGCAATATTAATTAAATCAAGGTTGTTTTAGAGAAATATACATTATCTAATTAAATATTAATTTTAACATAACTAAATAATATTATAAGATGCAATATTAATGAAATCAAGGTTGTTTTAGAGAAATATACATTATCTAATTAAATATTAATTTGAACATAACTAAATGATATTATAAGATGCAATATTAATTAAATCAAGGTTCATTTAGAGAAATATACATTATATAATAAACATTAATATTAGCATAAATAAATAATATTAAAAGATGCAATAATAATTAAAGCAAGGTTGTTTTAGAGAAATATACATTATCTAATAAATAATATTAAAAGATGCAATAATAATTCGAAATTTAAGTATAAATATTTTTTGTACACATACACATAAAATCAAATATATTATTTTGTTAATCGTATTAATTATTTTGAATAATTTAAAACAATACAAGTACACTCGTAAGACTCTTAGGAGAGGTATACATCTCCTTAGAAACACAGTCTTTTTGACAGAAAAAGGGGGGATCCGAGGATCGCTTAGAACCCGATTTTCCCAGGTCATGGGGGGACCATGATGATCGCTTAAGTCCCCATTTCCTTAGACATGCATTTCTTTATAACAGAGTCTCAATAAGTGTTGTATTGTATTGATTTAAATTATTGAAAATAATCAATACGATTAACAATTAAGTAAATTATTGTACAACAAATAAATTACTTTAACAAAATACAAATTAAAAGTGATGATAAATAATATGTACCTTGTGGTCGTTCCAAACGTCTCTTGAACGATGATTTGCTTGATCGTATAAAACTGTCGGATCAATCGGTCCTTGATCAACATAATATCGTTGATTGAAAATATCAACATTCGGCCCAACCTACGATAGCATAACAATAACATAAATCATTAGTATATAAATTAAATAAATCATTATAACAACAACAACAATTCGGAAAAATGAGTACGTACCGTTTGATAATCATCATAAAAAAGACCCTCTTCTTGAGCGAAATCGGCCATTCTCTCGGAATCCGGACAGAGGTTCGACGGTTTTTTAGTGAAAACCAAAGAAAAAGTATTTTGGAGGCAGATCGGACTTAGCCGCAACCAACAAAAAAACTAATTCTAAGGTTGGGTGGGGAGGGGTTGGGTAGAGAGAAGTTAGAGGGAGAGAGGGGAGTGTGGTGGATGGTGTGCAGAAAAGAGAAGGGGGGGGGGGTTATAGGGTTCAAACCGCGTGGGGGAGGGTCGGTGGAGTAATTTCTCGCCACCAAAAACCGCGCCCCCAGCACGCGGTTTTAGATTCCCGACGGTCAAACCGCGCGTCAGACACGCGGTTTTAGTTTCCCTGCGGTCAAACCGCGCATCGGGAGAGCGGTTTCATTTTCCCAACAGTCAAACCGCGCCTCGGGGAGGCGGTTTCTGTGGACGACACGGACTGCTGACTTGGCACACGTTTTATCCGTCTAAACGCTCCTCTGATTGGCGGTTTGATGCACCGCCACGTGGCAACACGGTTTGACAGCCAATGAAGGTCAAACCGCGCGTTGGGGGCGCGTTTTTTGCTGTAACCGCCGCCTGGAGACGCGGTTTTATATTAAACCGCTCATTAAATGAGCGGTTTTTAATAAATGATGGTATTTTTGGAAATTATTTCGTCTGGGTGGTATTTTTGTAAATTTTTTTTTAAACGGTGGTAGTTTTGGATTTTTTCCTATATTTTTGGCCCCAAGTCCCAGACCAGTCCGCTCCTGCTGACGTGAGTGGGTTCTTGGGCCACGTGGCGGCCAACTGTCACGTGGGAGGGACTGGACCACGCGACTCTCGGGCATGTTCAAACTGGGCTCTGTGGTCTCTGGGCCGGCCTGCCCCAAGATTCTCCTGTCCTGTCCCACTGCCTCCCCTAGGCCCTAGCTACCTGTCTAATACTTCTCGGTTTTATTTGGGCTTTCACATCTCAATCTCAGCAAACAATTCATCTCTGTAGTACTGCTGAAGGCAGACGTTTGCGGCCGCGGTGGTAAGTCTTCTTGACCAGATAATTTGGTTTGGTTTGGTTTCCTACTGGAATACGTATCCATGACGTACATATATACAAGGCATTCAAGAATCTGGATTGTGTATTAGATCGAGCTGCCCACAAGCGAGCTTATTCGTTTGTAGGAGCAAATCTCGCATAACACCATGGTCATCGAGTAGAATTGTAGAAATATACAATCCAATAAGGGTGACCCAGGTATGGCACCGAGATGCATGTGGGACGAGATTAGGGACATACATCGTAAAAGACAAAGGAATCTGGTTAGTTGCTTGCATCACCTTCTGTGAGGACGTGATTATATTTAGGAATGTCAATTACCTACTAATGGGTCATTATATCCAAACCCAAGTAAATACATTGATAATGAGTAGAATATGAACTGGATATATACGGGTTTGGGGGGTTGTAGATGAGTTTGGATAAGGTATGAATATTGCTTTTATATTTAATATGACACACGCCTTACATATTATTAAGTGACAGTTAGGGTATCATTTGTTTTGTGGTTTTTGGTTTGACCACAAAGTATGACACAACTCTAATTAATTTGCGATATGATGATGGTTTTAAGAACAAGATAATCAACCAAACATTATCACTTGAATTAGTGGCTCTTAATGATCCTTTGACTTCACCCGCTGTGACTTTTTCTTTCTTTTTGGCGGCTAATTGACAACTAAGCCTAACCACTATGGATGGGAATGGGATTGAGTGTTTTTTTTTTTTTTTTACATAACAATGGGGATTTACTTGTATTTACTATGAAAGATCGGTTACAAGAGGAGCAAACAGAAAAGCTGGATCCAAAACAGAGGAGCCATCCGCAACAGGATGAAGCACATTATGCTTGAAAGGAAAACATCAGAGAGCAAAGCACAAAATGAAACAAACCAGCAGGGGACCAAACTCTAAAATAGAACACAACAAACCCAGAAGTCCTCTTGTTTCCAAAACAAACAGAGTATAAACAAGCAAAGAATCAGCTCGTCCAACACAGCCAAGACCATGACGATTGAACTCAGCAACGCCATCAGCCGCCTCCTGGGAGCCGCTCAAAGACGACCCATCACAGTGAATCTCGAAACTAAGATTACATGGCGGTGGAAAGGGCTGTGAATCGGACTGCTCCAAGCTGAAAGGCACAGGAAACCGAGGAAGAGAAGCCCATGACCAAGGAGAGCGATGACCACACAACTCCGAGGAACAGTAGCACAACCCCGCCACACCTGGAAAAGACACTGCCACCCACATCGAGCGCCTGTGAGACAGATCCAAACCGCCAAGGATGAACAGAGGGGAAACCAGTGGATGGATTCACCAGAAAACAATGAAACCACCAGATTGGAGGAAGGCCACCATTGTAGATCTGGAAGCGACACCCAATATGCATAATCCAGATTCCTGAGAGCAAGCCCAGATCTAGAAACAGCTAGATCAACAACAAAACAAACCCATCTCCATAGGAGAGGATTGAGGAAAAGAACCCACAAAGGGAACAAGGAAAGGCCAAAAGGGCTTGAAAGGCTAGAAATGAAAGGAGGAAAACAAGTGAAACAGGAGCACGAAAGCAAATGGAAGGGGAAGCTTGGGCCACCGCCGAACACCTAGAGGTGCCGGCGGCAACCCTGAAGAAAAGGATGTTGAGTTTTAGTGAGAAGGGAGAGCGAATTTGAATGAGAGTGATCTATTTACTCGGAAGCATAAATAAAACCAACAAAAACAGAGTCTGTCAAGAAAAAAACAGAGGCAAAAGCAAAAACCAACAGAAGCAAGAAAACAAAAGAGAGAGAGAGAGAGAGAGAGAGAGGTGAATCCAAATCGTAGGAATGGGATTGAGTGATTGACCACAAAATGGGACAACAGAGCAGCAACGTGCGACAAGAAAACTTAGGATGACTAGCCCCTATTTGAATTTCCATTCTAACAACCATCACACTCAACACTTTTCCAACTTGAAAAACCAAAGTCAAGACCACCCACAAATGCTTTGTGATATTTTTGGGAATTGTCACATCCGCTTTGGATATTTGTTTGGAAATCGTCAATATGTATGTTTCAATTGTTCTCATTGAGATTTGGATATTTTCAATCTCCGACGGGCATCGTACTTATTGTTATTGATGTCGTTATCTAGATAAGTCACAATTTTCCTAACAAGAGATTGAGATGAGATATTATGCTTTACGATCAAAATGAAACTTATTGTGTTTAAACTCTAAACACTAAAATTACTCTATCAAATCTAATATATAATTATTTATGATGATTATTGTTAAAGTATTTAAGCTGATTAACTTTCCCTCCTTGTATAAACCAGAAGGAACAAATTATTTCGAAATTGCTATCACTATTCAACAAAGTGTTTTCTCTTCCTTTATTATTAAGAAGCGGAGATTTTTTTATTATTTTATTTCTTGCACTGAATATCCAAAATTCTTACAATTTTTTTTATTAGGAGAATGAGATTCTAATCCCATCCAGTTATTTCTTCTCTAACTCCTTGCCTTGATGTTCACATGCAAGGGTTCAAGTTTCCTAGCAGTAAGCGCCACAGTGTCCACATTCTCTTCCTCTCCTTCCTCCAATCGCCACTCGAACTGCTGCACCATCTTCCCAATCGAAGTACATGAAATCAACATCGCCTGCAGAGCTCCGGCGCAAGCCCTCCTCCCTCCTCCAAACGACATCGTTTTGTGCAGATCCATCGTCGTGTCAGATCCCCCGTCCAGAAACCTCTCCGGCAGCCACTCTTCCGGGCTCTCCCACTGTTTCCTGTCCATGTTGCATCCGTACAAGTTCATAGCTATCTGCACAACAAAACACATCAGAGAGTCACGTTTCAGAGTTTTTTTAGTAGCTGAAGTTGCAATTGGCAGGTAGAGGTGAACCTGAATGAATCCTGATAGTCAGTCATATTGTTATTAGTTATTACCTCTGTCCCAGCAGGAACGTGGTACCCTCCTAACTCCGTGTCGACGTCCACGTGGCGCAGGGGAATGATCGGAACAGGGCTGTGCCTTCGAAGGGTCTCGTGGAAAATGGCGTTCAGGTAAGGAAGTTTTGACAGATGTTGTTCGGAGAGTCCCTCGGATGATCCACATGCGGTCAGGATTTCCTGGAAGAGTCGTTCCTGACTGTCAGGATTCTTGGCTAGTTCGTAGATGGCCCACTCCGTTGCCACCATTACTGTATCGGCCGTCTCGATGATCGTCTCCCATACCAGCATCATGATCTGGAAGTCCGTCAGGGTCTTACCTTCTGATAGCAAGTAATCAATGTAACAATCGATCACCTGATGACATGAAATGAACATCAGATGTGATCGCACAGAGTTAGTACGTGGTTAATCGTACATTATTACAACTCGAGTTATCGAGACCAATTGGGTTCTCCCTTACATCTCCAGACGCAATTCGTTGCTTGCATTCCTTGATCAGGGCATTCATCACTGCTCGTCGTTGGAAATTCATCCGCTGGATCCTCTTCTCGAAGCTGGGGTTGGGGATCCACCTCAGATACGGGAAGAAATCTCTCCAGTCTACCTCTATGGCGCCTTCCATTTGATCAAGTACCAAAATTCTGAAGATCTCTTCTCTGGACACCGTACTCCCCAATTCCTCGACGTAAATCGACTCCACATCCTTGCCAATCGCCTGCCTCATGGATAAACCGAATAGTTCAGTCTCAAAGATCTTCCTGAAATTCAAAGCTTCCCCGGGACGAGCCTCGGCATGATCCCGCAACTTCGTTGCTATGTTCTCCACCATTAGTTCTCTCTGGTACAGAAGCCTTCTCTGTCGAATTCAGCAACAATAACAACAACAAAAAAAGACGACATAAACATTATGGTCAAACTCTGTAGCTAAGCAAAAAGAGTACGATACGAGTGGTAATGTAGAGATGAGAACACGAACCTGAGCGCTCGGGCTCAACAGGTGAGTGAGAACATGGCGTTTGATCGTCCTGTGGAAGTCGTCATAATCGGTCATGGCGACGATGGATTTGTCCTCAGTCAGCATGGACAGAGCCTTGGATAGCTTCCTTGTGCTTATGGACGAGAACTTCGCCACCATGGCCTGTGACGTAGCAAGTAAAAACAAAATGAAATTCGGATTTCAGCCAATTAAGTTATAGCACAGTTCAATTCCGATCATCTAAACACTGTACAAAAGTTGGACTCTGACAATCGAGGAAACAGAGACCTCTTTGGCGACGGCAGTGGTGTTGAGAACGACGACGGAGGAGGAACCGGTTTTGATGGAGTAGATTGGGCCGTAAGTCTCGGCCCATTTGGTGAACGTTTTGTGGGGTTTCTTCTCCTTCAGCTGCAGCAAGTTCCCAAGCACCGGAAGCCCGGGCACCTGAGGAACTCGCCGGAGGCAGGGGCCGGCTCTGTTTTTGTCGGCGGTGAAGTTTTTCAAGAGGCGCAGGGAGAAAACGAGTGAACAAACGGCGACGACGGCTAGAGTGGCGTATCCCGCCGGTTGGAGAGTGAGGAGAGTGGTGATTATGGAAGAAGCAAGCGCCATTTTCTTTTTGTTGATTAGTTAATGGGTTTGGAATGGAAGTGTAGTAGTTCTCGGTTAGGCTCTGTTTTGGGCAAAAAGGCTTGCTTGACAAGGGCTTTTATAGAGAGGTCAGAGGAGAGTATGTGGCTAATTAGCTACGTGGAAGAATGCGAGCCATGGCTAAAATCGAGTAATTCTAATTTATTCAAACAGCCAGACTGGTCAAACTTTCGGCTTCACTGCAATGGATGGAAGGTGATGATTTTTTGGAAAATAATTAACTTATAGGGATGACAATGGCTAGACCAATTAGGTAATTGAATCTATTTGTCACGATTTATTTGGATATTCGGTTTGATTCAAAATGGACTCTTAATGATTTTGGGTTGGGAAATACTTGGCTGCAACCTAGGTAGCAGCCCGCTCCTGCTACCCCTCCACCCGTTATATCCTCATTGGCCCTTTTGTTTTTCACCGTCCAAAAGCTTTAGAAATTAGAACATCATCACAACGTCCATTCAATGTAGAAACAAAATTTCCTCAAATTAGTGTGTTAGATAGTAGCATAACATTTATAATTAATTTTTCACAACAATTCGAGTTATTGAAACCAATTGATTTATAACACGATATCAGAGTTAGTTTGGCCAAGTGGTCGTGAATTCAAATTTTTACGACCCCGACATTAACCCTTGATTAAGAATAATATATGGTGAGTCTATGTAAACTTCAAGCTCGCGAGTTGACTTTCCTTTGTAGCATCTTGTTAGATAATGATATAAAATCTATAATCAACGTTCTCTCGGCTTTCGTTTCATGGGATGGGTAGCAGGAGCAGGCTGCAGCATGGTTTGCAGCCAAGTAATTCCCTTCTTTTATGGGCAAAATTTGGCTGCTGGCTGGGTTGCAGCCCAGCGCTGTTACCCATTGACGTGGAGCCATGTGATTGGTGAAAATAGGTTAATTAATTATTACGTGGATGTTGGATTTGGACGGAATGGAAAATTATCTTGGATGAGTTTTTTTTTGACGGGACACTGACGGAAGAGCTGGCCGACGTCAAATTATTAACCTTTCCTTGTGTTTTATTTTATTAATATTTGTAATTAATTTTTATCAATTAAAGGGGAAATTATTAAAAAGATATTTCTCCTTTATGTTGTGTTACTCTACGTCATAGTTAGTAAAATATGATACGGGAAAGTTACATATAAAATACGTACGGGTATTTTTCTTCATCCCTAAACCAATGTTACATTTAATAGACATTAATAATCATAATTATATAAAAATTAATTATTTTAAAAATAAATAAATATATAAATAATCGGAAAGGTAACAATTTAATTTATTAAATACATATATTAAACGTGTTATATGGATTTTAAATGTATTTAGTATGAGAGTCAACAAATGAACGGAAAAAATGAAACGGCTTAACAATAATATGGATACGAAAGTTTTAAACGAATAAAATATGTACGGATACATATATTAAACGGAGTATTTACTAACTATGCTCTACATAATATTATATTATTTCTTTTTTTTCAAAGATAGCGTAATATTAATAACATAAAGTAGTATAAATCAAACTGCGAAACTAGACACAGTAGTCAACAAATACAAATTAAATCCATGTATAAAAGCTAAATCTAAAAGAATTCGAGAATGTACTGTCAAATGAAATAATTCTATTATAGTAACACAAAGACCAACCATCCCAAATGAATTGCACCAAAAAACACTCCTAAAAGATTGATCCCCTAAATGCTAAGAAAATAATCTCTTCAATCAAGGATTGAAATACTACTGGAGATTGTACCGGAAAAGTTATTGATAGAGTAATTTATGCTAAAATCGTGGTTTACCCGCTTCATACCTCTAAATATCGCCTACTGATTGACCCTCCGATAAAAGATTTTTCTAGTCGAACCGCCAATACAGTATCATTTTTTAATCCTTGCTTCAAATATAATAATAATACTACTAAGCTACTAAGAGATAACAAATGTTATCGTTAAATTAATAAAAATAGATATAAAAATATAATAAAATAACACTTAAGGACGGCACCCTCTGTCCGCTACTTCTCCGCCCCGTCCACTAAAATCGTCAAATAATTTCCGTCCCGTCCAATTATATTTTAATAATTAATTAACCCTACTTAAACCAATCGCATGACTCCACATCAATGGTAAGCAGCGCTGGGCTGCAACCCAGCCAGCAGCGAAATATTGCCCTTTTGGGTTTGTGTTTGGATTTGGATTGAGTCCAATTTAAGTCATCACATTTGAGTCGAATCCAAATGAGTTTATTTTGGTCTATATAATTATAATACCAAAAAAGCAATATCGATCATCAAATTGTTCGTCTTAAACCAATTCACTCCATCAATGTTGATATTTCCACATTTAGACTCAAACTAAATGGTTGAGTATGTGTATAACCCAAAAGTGATATTAACCAAATTTGATTTGACTCGTAATGATTTGAATTTGGAGGTACCCAAATTATGGAGAATTTTTGCCATCCTATTGAAGTGTGAATATGTGATGAAAAAATCGCTAAGTACACTAGTTGTTAAAATTTTTTCCAAAATACATAAGTTATAATTTTTTTTTCAAAACTACACATGTTTGGCATTCACCGTTTTTGACAAACGCAGTGAAGATTATCACCGCGTTTGACAAACGCGGTGAATATTTCACCGTAAAAAAAAAACCGGTGAAGTATTCACCGTTTTTCTCTAAAACGGTGAACTACTAGCGAGTCAATCACCGTTTTAGAGGCAAACAGTGAATACTTCACCGTTTTAATGAAACACGGTGAAGTTTAAACCGCTGCTGTGGCCCACGATGAAGCGACGCGGATCGCTGACGTGGACAAACACGGTGTATTCACCGCGTTAGACAAACACGGTGAATACCCCGTGTTTGTTTGCGTCAGCGATCCGCGTCGCTTTTCCTTTCACCGTGGCCGTCAGATGCGGTGAGGCGCGGATCGTGGTTTTCTTCCCAGATCCGACGCCTCACAGCTGCTCCACGTCGCCCCTATCACCGTCTTTGACAAAGGCGGTGTATTCACCGTGTTTGACAAAGACGGTGAAGCATCCCAGAATTTACTCTCGGCAGATCCCTTCCCCCCTTCCCCCAACTATAAATAGACCCTTCCCCCCAACTTACAAATCACACCACAACAATTATTCTTCTTTCTCCCTCAATTTATCCGCTCTAGTCTCGTTCTAAGTATGCTCTGTGGTTGCGGATATATCCGATCTTCCACATTAGAAAGAATTACTAGAGTTTCACCCTAAAGCCCCCGTCCCGCTAAGCTCCCGTCCCTTACAAACCCGAACCCGTCGAACCTCTGTCCGGCTTCTGCCAAAAAATGGACGAAGAGGCTCTTCGTGTAGGGTTTTTTTTGTGTTTTTATTTTTAATCTTAACAATTTGATTTTGTAATTTTCTTTTATCAAAACAATCTCTGATTTCATTACTTTTTTTATAGATGGGTGCCGAGATATACGATCCTCGATTGTATATCTATTATGGGCCAAGAGATACGAGACTCTTAACCGATCAAGAAGCTCATTGCTCCCGTGCTATTTGGGATAACAATCCGATAATTTGATGATTTATTTGCTTTATTTTATTATTTTCTAAGGTTTTATTTTGCTTTATTTAAACTAACAAATTGATGTTTTTCTATTTTTTTTTTGAAGGAATCACTTGTTCCCGTCGTTCATAAAGGGACCACAAACTTGCCCCCTTGGCATCCACGGTTGGCGCCCTATATAGAGAGGACCGGGTTGGGTATGTTGCGCCATTTCATGCGGATCGAAATCGACAACGATCTTCTTAAGGCAATGGCAGAGCGAGGGCGTCCGGAAACCCATACGTTCCACCTTCCGGAGGGGGAAATGACGATCACCCTCAAAGACGCGGCGATCCTCACCGGGCTGCCGATTTCTGGAGATGCCATCATTGATTCCACTACCAAAGAGGTTGGGGGCCGCTCATTCTTACTGAATTGGGATTTGACATGCCGACCACCACACCAATTCAAGGACGGGGGCATCCACCGTTGAATGCGGGACAAGTGTCGGTCCCGTGGCTGGTAACTCACATCCAGAATGAGGTGGAAATCAATGACGAGACTCCGTAAGATCAAGTGGAGCGCTATGCATGCATCTACCTCATTGGTTTGGTGGGTGAATTTCTGTTCCCCGACAAGTCAAACCGGTGGATTCAAGGCATATGGTTGCTATTGCTCACTGGTGACTGAGACGCAATTGGGGAAAATAGTTGGGGATCAGCCGTGTTAGCTGGCGTATACCGGGAGCTGTGCACTTGCTCGAAGGTGGGAGCAAAACAAGCTGGTGCTGCGATGTTTATCCTACAACTGTGGGTATGGGAGCATTTTCCAATGTTCGCACCTCTAGACCCACGTCCATACCGGAGAGCCGATGATGAGCTAAACTCTCTGCAAAATCCCCCTTACGGTGTCAAGTAAGTTTATTCCGTACTTAGCCTAATTTAAAATTATTCCATGATTAGCTAGATTTCAATTGAATTTATTCCGTACTTAGCCTAATTTAAAATTATTCCATGCTTAGCTAGATTTAAATCGAATTTAATCCGTACTTAGCCTAATTTAAATTTATACCATGCTTAGCTAGATTTAAATTGAATTTAATCCGTACTTAGCCTAATTTAAATTTATACCATGCTTAGCTAGATTTAAATTGAATTTATTCCGTACTTAGCCTAATTTAAATTTATTCCATGCTTTTACTTACAAGGTGGATAGGAGCAAATACGAATGACCATCAACCTGAGCATTCGTTACTGTTTTATCGTTCTGAGTTAGATAAGCCTTGGTGGAATCAGGTAATCATGCTTTATCATATTTTAACAAGTTAAGGTTTTTCAATGTAAATGGTCGCTAATTGCATTATTTGAATGAATATAGGTTACTTGGGATCCATATCCACGTGAAGTGGTCGAACTGCATCATCTTAGAAACCCTATGGATCACGAGACGTGGTTGTGCAAGGTGCCATTGATCTGTTGGCACGTCGTAGAGTGGCACCTACCTGATCGATCCTTGAGGAAATATCGAATGGAGCAACCAATTCCACAAACCCCGCCTCAAGGTTTCAGGGAGCTACATGCCATCGACCTCCGACACGCTTCAAAGAATTGGATCCTAAAGCATCAATACTACATCAACATCTGGGAGAATAGAGGGACATGGGTGGTCCAAGGGATATCGGAGACGAGACCGATGGGCTACCACGATGGGTACATGCAGTGGTATCGAAAGTTCACCAATAGATGGGTGTCAAAGCAAGGTGATGTGATGGGTTCGTTGGTAAGTCATCCTAATCTCCCTCGCGAGTCTAATTATTTTGTTTTAAGGTTTAATTAATTTTGTTTTATTATGTGGATTGCTTAGGTTGATGGTTTAGAACACGCCAAACACACCCTCGATAGTGCTCCAACCATGGATGGGCGCAAAACTTCTTGGCTGCGAAGGCTTATGAACAACCTCTTGAGCTGTACCCGAGAGCAAAGGAGGGATGTCGTGGCCTATCCTCCCATTCCCGCTCCGGCACGCCCATCATTCCGTGATGGTGAGCCCATTGTGCCCCCAGTTGAGCCCCCACGAAGGAGCAAACACAGGCCTCTGCCTACTTTCGAAGAGGTGCGCACAACTCAAGAAACCGAGCTCCCTGAACCATTTGAGTACGAGTGGGCACCTGCACCGGATGTCACTGGAGTTCATCTTAAGAACCAGATAATTTCTCTCATTTCCACCATCAGCAACAGAGTTTGATGTATCACACCCCGCATCAACAAACCCCTCACTGCCCGATCTACCAGCAGGCTACCTGCCCATCTCAGCAACCTCCACCGCCACTTGTAACTCCAGTAGGGGCTCGGGTTAAGAGACATCCGCGACAAGTCGTTGAGGTGGAAGAAGGGGTTGGAAACGTGTGAAATACTCACCGTTTTAACCTAGAATGGTGAAGGTATTCACCGTGTTGCCCTAAAACGGTGATATATTCACCGTTTTCTACTAAAACGGTGAAATCTTCACCGTGTTTGTCAAACGCGGTGATAATCTTCACTGCGTTTGTCAAAAACGGCGAATGCCAAACATGTGTAGTTTTGGAATTTTTTTTATAACTTATGTATTTTGAAATTTTTTTTAAGAACATGTGTACAATGGGATTTTTTCCAATATGTGATACGATTCAATGAGAAATGATCACATATGGCATATTTCTATCAATCCACACTTCTTGAAAAAATTATTATGGTCATTCATCGCACCTCAAATTAACCACGTTATTTTATCAATTCGTATTCTGTGGCAAGTAGCGTAAATATCTAATTAAGTTGTATTCGTTTGAATTACGTTAATTCAAATTTTTATTGTAATTTGATTTTGATTGTCAATGTTAATCCTTTTGTTTTTATTTTATAAATAATTTTATAAAAAAATATCACTTTGTCAAGTACTTATAGTGACCCATTCCTTTTTTTGAGGCAAGTATCACTCGAATACCTGACAAAGTACTTGGAGAAGGACTTTGTTCAATTGATTCATTAAAAAATTAATGAAACACATTTCAAATTGAAGGTGATCTTAAATGCTTCTTTAGAACTCACCCGACCAAGGAAGTTATGACTTAATGGGTGAAGCATACCACAAAAAGATATTTGATCTGGTTGTCTTTCTTCCATATTCAGAGGACACAATGGTAACCATACATTCAATTTCCAATTCATGAACTTACCTCCACTCCACCTAATCGTCACTCAAAATCATGTTGTCCATAACCGACGATAGAGCAACAAGAGAAGAAGGAGAATGATATAAATACAGATTGTATCATATTCGAGCCAAAATTACTAGATAAAAAAGTTATCGAAGTTGGAAAGAAGAAGGGCGGAATTTGGTCAAGTCTTGGAACATTTTCAAGATGCCTATTTTGGAGGCATGGTTCTCTCAATTGGGTGAATGAAAATTTGAGTTTGATAGTTTGTTTTGAAGATAAGAAGTCCATTTACACGATGGTATGCTTGTTAGCCCGAGAGGAAGTCCAGAAGGCCATTTTCCAGACGTCCAAAGTTGCTATCTGGAAAGCTGAAAACTGCCTGAAAATGGCCAAGGTAGAAAACTGGTTTGTGAAGTCTACTTTGGAGCTCAATTCAGGAGCATGAATCTTATTCGAGTCCAAAGGATTCCATAAAATGAAACTAGGTATGTTTGTATACAAAGGGAAGGAATTGGATGAAAGATTGGAGTTTTGGATGGTCTCGAACGAAAGACGCGAAGTTAGTACAAAAGCTGTTTTTGACTGTTTGCCGGTAACTTTCTTGTGCATAAAGAAAAGAAGTTTGTAGCCGAGTTTTGTGCTGTTTGTAGAGTTTCTTTTTACCTTAATTGTGTCCTTGTTTCACTAGGTTTGTATTAGGTTTTTCTTGCTTTAAATACCTCCCAATTCATGTTGTAAAGAAGCCAAGTTTTAGTTGAATGAAAAACGTGAGTTTTGAGTTCTTTGAGTTGTCTCTCAAGAATCAAATCTTTGAGTTAGTTTTGTATGGATTCCATTGCTAATTCGAGAACCCTTGTCAACCCTTTCTGTGAGGATTCCAGATTCGTTTAATAAGTTTCTTATCAATAAAATAAACACTTTGATTGTGGCGAAATTCTATCTATCCATCTTTATCGTTCGAGTGTTCTTTAGCGGCGTATTCTGGTAAAAACAAGCACCCCCCTTCGTGCTTGTATCAGAGAAGGCAGTTCATGCTAGCTAGTGAGCATGGGAGAATGATTGTCGAGGTGAGGAGAGGAAACTCAATCAGGTGCAAGGGAATCATCTCCGATTGATGCTTCAATTCTCTCTCTCCAATTGATCTTATCGACTTTCACGTTAGTGGTACATATGTTAATCAAATGACATTACCATTTGTCACCTACTTAAATGGAAACATTTATCATTTTCCTGTAATGTCAACCAAAACATTGCTATATTGGAAAATAGATGTGAAGCACCGCAATTTTGAGAAATTTCTTTAAAAAAAATCTATCTTAGGAAGAAATCCGATATTATGTGTTGTTACCTTTTCCAGCCACCTATGGAGACTAACTCGAAGTCAATTATGGGGTCTCAATAATTCATTTCCATCCCATACCATCTACGTTCGTTTACATCACAAGTCGGTATTGAAATATGAATCTCTTTGGACCACCGCCTCTGTTCTGTTACAGTTGTAGTTCCAGAGAACAAATATCTTTCTTTTTTCGGCCAAACTGAGAATTCTTCGTTAATTTATCAAAGAAAAAGATGAACAGAATCTGTTCCTAGAATAGGAAGGAAAGGCTCATTTGTGGGATGAGAGTTTAGCTGCATTGATTGAGAAAAAGGCTCAAGGCCCAAAAAGGTTGTCAGCCCAAAGAAGGGGATACAAAAAGAATGGATTGGCTTACAAAACCCAACAAAACATGCACCCAAATCCTTTGCTCAATAGGCCAGGAATGTGCAATACAACTCCGGCCCCCTTGCAGCAAAGCTCCAGCTAATCTAGCATGGTAAAGGAAACCGGATCGTACCGGCCGGTTGAACCGGTAAAACCGGAAATCCGACCCTGAGCGATACGGTAGACCATTGGTAGCAAGAATATCGTGCCGGCCGGTTTGTACGGTTAAACCGGCACAATGCAAAAAACCGCCCGGTTTTGATCTAACCGGGGGTATGCTTCTGGGAAGGAAACGACGCTGTTTTGGCAAAAAAAAAATTGAAATCGACCGAAGGCAGGAACCCCCCGTCGGCTGTCGACCAGGAAGGCAGGAACCCCCCGTCGTGGCTGTCGCTCCTCCTCTTCTCCTCTGGCGCCCGCCGACCAGCAATCCTCGAGTGGCGAAACCACCTGCGCTCCGCCGCTGCTCCTCCTCAGCCAGCGCGCCGCTCCTCTCTGCTCCTCCTCAGTCGGCGAGCCGTTCGCTGCTCCTCCTCAAGTCAGCCGGTGCGCCTCTCTCTCCCCTGCTCAAGAAGTCGGCGGGGAGCTTAGATTTATTCATTTAGGCCTTAGGGTTGACAGCTGAGTTTGGGCTCCATTAGGTTCAATTAGCTGGGCCAATTAGCTGAGTTTGGGCTCCATTAGGTTCAATTATCCGTAGGTTTTCATGGGCCAAGCTTTAGTTAGTTGTTTTTGGCAAATTAACAAGAAAGTTTATAGTTCAATATGTTTTAACCAAGAAATATTTTTTAATTACAAAAACGGTATTTTGCCGGTACACAACGATTGAACCACGGTCGTACCACAAAATACCCTACCGCTGACGGATCCGGTATGACCTCCGGTACGGTTTCCTTTACCATGATTCGTAGTACTTGAGGCCTTCAGAGTTCAGATGCTAAAGGATGCTTTTAGCTGCAGCTACAATTAAATTTCTTTTACAAGAGAAAATCAATTGATTGACTGAAAGATCGAGGATTATACTCTCGAATCAATCCATTCAAAAGAGAAAAACTAGGTCGGAGACGAAGAAAAAGTCTTTCTGGCCACAAAATTGGTTACTCTATTGCTAATTCGACCTAAAAATCGAACATAAAAACCAACCACCATACACACTATTTCCTCAAGGATGGCCCCAACACGTGGCATCCTTCGAATTTATCTTACCAACACGACTATCCCTGGCTACAATTAATTTAATTTTTAAAAAGGTAAGTTAGAAAGAAAGACTTAATTAATAAGTATGCTTAAGAATAATCTTGAAATAAGGAAGAAGGTGCTACTTAGATATTCAAATCTTAGATTTTTATATTGAAGACAAGTGATAGTACCACTAGATCAAATTACTACTGTTGTGATTTTTTAGAACTAGTATGAGCTCGCTCGCTATCGGTTCGCGTGTGAGCGAGAACATGATATTTTAAAGATTGATAGTTTGAATTTTGGCCCAAAAGTAAAGAGTTGGTCATCTACAACTCCATGTTGTCGATGCAGCGATGAACTTTAATAAGGGAGAAGGGTTATCGAGCAAATGATTTCTATGTTTAATCTTCTCTCTAGTTTGTATTCTTTTTGCTTTGGTTTTTTAAAGTTCATATTGATTATTCTTTTTATGGATTTTTGGGACTAATCGCAGGTTTGAGAAGGTTCAACTCACTTTGTCTGGGTTAAAGCGGATAAAACTCGCTCACGACCCAAAATTCGACAACATCATGTTCAACTCTCTTTGATCAAGTTGAACCGAATTTGTAACAAATTCACAACCGACCCGACCTGCCAAGTACAAAAGCGAATAAAACTCCCTCTCGCCCGAAAAATTTTAAGCACCGGGTTCAAGTCGTTTTGATCAAGATGAATTAGGTTGGATACCCATAGGTTTGGGTTCTCAACCAAAAGGACAAGGTTAAATAAAAAAAAACACTAAAGCGGATAAAATCGCTCCCTACCAAAAACACTACACACCGAGCTCAATTTGCATTGACTGGTTCGAACCAAGATTTTAACAATTCACACTCAGCTCAACATATCAATTCTAAAATAAGATAAAACTCGTTCTCTATACAAAACTCGTCAGCACCCGGTCCGGGTTCAATTGTCATTCTCAACCAAAAGGAAAATGAGAAGTAAAAATAATAATATTAAAGTGGACAAAACTCGATCTCGATAAAAAAACTCGTCACTCTATGTTTAGCTCGGTTTGACCGGGTCGAATCATGTTTTTAAAAAATTCACACTCGACCAAACCTACCAACTACAGTAGCGTATAAAACTCACTCTCGATACAAAACTTGGGTTCAATTGACATTCTTAAAGAAAAGAAAAAATAGAAATTTTAAAAAAATACTAAAATCGGGTTCAAAGTCGGTTTGACCTAATCGAATTATGTTGAATACCAATTAGTTTGAGTTCAACTGTAATGTTTAATCAAAAGGAAAAAGATAGATAAGAAAACATTAAAGAAAATGAAACTCGGCCCCGATACAAAATTTGACAACACAAAGCAGATTTGGTGTGGATTTTCGGTAGCGGTCTTGGGACACGATGTATGGGTACAACTTAGGATTTCACGAGAGTGTTTGGAGAAGGGTTGTGCATTATTGGGAGAATGCGAGGATTGTGCATAATAGATATGGTATGGATCTTCGACAGGAGTCGTGGAAAACGGTTGAAGAGGACAACTGTCGATAATGTTTCGAGATGGGTTGAGAATTGGTGGGCCAAGGCAATGATTTGGGCAAAAGAGCATAGACGAAGAAAACATAATGTATAATTGTTGCAACAAGGAAAACAATGAACAATAGATGGAAACTTATGGGAAACCTAATGGGCAATAGATGTAGACCCGAAGGACAATAGTGGAACACATAGGTTATAGAATTAGAGAGTGGGTAAAAGAGGACTTGAAACTTCTCCACTTACACTTGTAGAAGTTTGAGAGCCACTAATAAATAATAACTCCAATGCTAAGCTTTTATATATTAATTCTACTAGCAACTAAGCACGCACTCCGCTGCGAAGAATGCGTGAACGACTCTAAGTTATCATGTATAAATTATAATTAGTTACAGATCCAACTAACAACAACCTAAACATTTTGATTTATATCATAATAATAAATAAACACAACAAATAGTTAGGATAATTGAGAAGCAAGGATATATATATCTAGATCATGAATTAAACCGAGTTTGGGGTATGATACTATACCCTAACCTCAAATGGATAAACCTCACACCCCAATTTTCTAATCCCTTACCCAAAAGTTCAATTTAAGAGAAAAGAAGAGTTGACCGTTGAGATTGGCCGGAGCTAATCCATGCAAATCTAACTGTCAGATCATCTGGAGCATACTATGCTCTTGGAGCGTACCAGTCGTCTCCATATATATATATATATGTATATATATGCAAAGTACGAACCATTTTAAATTCACATTAGAGAGAAACCCAGTAAATTATTAAAAAAATAACAGAACTATATAAAAGAATGCATGCAAAAAGACTGAAGAAATAGCACTTGAAATGAGCATTATTAATGGTTGGGATTGTTTATAACAAAAATAAAATGCCTATTGACAACTTTATTACATATTGGGCAAAGAATATGCCAATGGATGCAATAAGCAAGTAACATTGATTAAACCCAAGAGAGGTGATCCAGGTCCAACTATTTCCACCTCTGCTGTAAATACTTGACCATTTGCTAGCTTCTTCATACGATGCCTATCATCAACTACAAGATTTTTGAACTCCGTTAATGGAGTTTTTGGCAAGATAGTCACGGGCCATTGTCGGAACATCAAATCACAAGAAGCCGTTCCATCCCCACAAGCAATCACACTCAAATAGCTAGTATGAAATTGACGAAACAATAAAAAACTTTAATATTCCTTTTACATTAAGCAACAAAATGAATAAGTGAACATATACCTACCATTCAAGATATCTTGAGAAAACTTCCTAGTTTGTATTGAAATTCTCAACTTCTATCAAACACCAGTAGGGGTTTTGTTAAAAAAATGAAACATTCAACCTTAATTGTTGTTTACGCTATATAGACTTAATATGCAATAATATTTACAAGTGCAACATGACATGCACATGTATACGATATCAAAAAAACTGGCAACGATATGAACCATGGTTAAGTATAAGGGTAGCCTGATTAAAGTTTCTTGCAACATGTACACATACCGTACATTCATTTAAATTTTGATATAAAAACAAATACATATCTAACCCCATATTGTGGTTTTTCAGACCAAAAGTCGGCAAGCAAATCTCTCAGTGTGATTCGTTTCGGGAGTGGATTAGGAAGATATTTGATAGTCGACGGTTGTGATTTTGGATCCAGTCGTATTGGCAAGTGAATGGTAGAAAACCTACAAGATAATTTTTTTTAAACATATATTATCAATAACCGTGAGAAACGTACGGAAAATTGACCATATAGCTCACCTATCAATGACACTCCTGTATCTGTGTGTATATGCGGCAAAGTTTATACGACTTCCCATGTTGCTCTTTAACATATAGACCCCTATATTTTGTTGAACAACAAATGCATATAACAAAATATCCGATTATCGGTTAGACAAGAAAGTCAAACGTACTTAAATTAAGTAAATATCATATAATGAAAGATGATAAAAGTATGAATATTAATAAAACGTGAATACTTAGAGTACATGTTTTGCCAACAAAAATGCCAGTAATAGTACATATAACTGGTTCATAACGCTCTTTCATTATTGCATCTTGACAAATGCTATAAAATTGTGTATCAGTATAAAAGATGGGGAATCTCTTGTTCCTACAATTGCAACCGAATGAGATAAATCTGATGGACATTAACAATCAAAGTATATATAAAATATTAATGCGATTGTCAAAGAACCTGATATTCTCCATCACGACTCTAAAAGTTTTAATGTTATATGGATGGTTTCATGCCGTGGTAATGGGAACTAAACGACCTGTAAGATTTGTTTACAAAGAGGTTGACAAAGATATAATTCGATTAATTTGAATAATTAAATATATCTATCTAAAAATAGGATTATAGTAGTACATGAATTGTAAATATATTCACCTGCTAGATGGGTATGATTAGAACGTATAGGTGTAGTCTTCAAGCGAGATATCTCTAGAAATTTCGAAAGGGAAGCGATAGACTCGATAGTTCCATACCAAATAATTGTCATAAATTTCGACAAAATCTACAACATATTTAATGTGTAGTAGTAGATCACATGGAGAGTAACGATTTCTAGATCGTGCAGGAATCAGTAACACGTCCGACATAATGTAAATGCGCCTTGTTCCGATTAAATATTTGACCATCTCATAGTACTTGGGAAAAGTAAAACCTTATATAGTGTTTTCCTATTATTGAAATAAATTCATGTTAGACCACGACGACAACAACAACAAACACATGCTTTGCATATATACTTAAAGGGATCCACCTCTTTGTCGACCCATATTGTTTAAAGTGCAGGTGAACCGGGAACGTCTCTGCTGATCCATTGGTGAATGAGTCGAACAACCAATGGTCGCTCTAAGATACCTCCTGAAAGTTCTCTGATGGTTATTGAAGAATTTATTGGCTCAACGAAAAAAACATGGCTCTTAGAATATATGTTACTTGAGGCATTGGTCGGTTAAAGATATACGCTTAGATTGAACATATTTTCAGGTGAATAAGTATAAAATAAATTTGACCGTACTGAAAATACCACCACATCAAATTAATAAC